TAGACTATTTGCTGAAGGGACTGAATAAGGGATTGGCACCTAGCACATTGCGTAGGCAGGTGGCGGCCCTCTCTACCTTGCTCTCTTGCGACAATGTTAGTTCCCTGGGGCAACACTCCTTGATCCGCTCCTTCATCAAGGGAGCTACAAATACCAAGCCACCTGTGGTTCACAGGTATCCCACATGGGAATTACCTAAGGTCCTTCAGGCTCTTACCAGGGCTCCCTTTGAGCCCCTCAGTTCATGCGACATGAGGTCCTTATCCCTCAAGGTTGCCTTCTTGGTGGCTATTACTTCAGCCCGGCGCATCTCTGAGATGGCGGCCTTCTCGGTCAGGAAGGATCTGTGTATCTTCCACCGGGATCGGGTCACTTTGCGCTTAGACCCCACCTTCGTTCCCAAAGTAAATTCTCTTTTTCATAGGACCCAGGACATAGTCCTTCTGCCCCAATTCGTCTCATGAGCTGGAACGGCGATGGCATTCTCTGGACGTCCGACGGGCTCTCCGTTACCACATTAAACGGACAGCCTCCTTCCGTAGCTCCAAGGCTCTTTTTGTCTCCTCATCTTTTTCCAAGGGTCAGAAGGTCTCAGCATCCACTATTGGTTGTTGGATAAGAGCTTGCATTGCGGGGGCATACCAGTCCAATTCCTTGCTGATTCCACCTCGTGTCACGGCCCACTCTACACGCAGTGCGGCCACCTCGGCGGCCTGGGCCATGCAGACTTCCATTGAGGAAGTATGTAAGGCAGCCATATGGTCTTCCCCATCACCGTTCATATGGCACTACAAACTGGACAGGTATGCTTCCGCCGAGGCATCCTTTGGCAGGAGAGTCCTCCAACAAGTGGTTCCTCGCGACACGGTTCCAAACTTGCCCACTTCCCTCCCGTAAGGACAGTGGGCTTTGGTATGTCCCATTAGTGGATTATCCATCTCCAGTGCTGGAGAAGGGGCGTTGTCTTACCTGAACGCCGTTTCTCAGCACAGAGATGGATAATCCACACCCACTCAATTAGGTCCTTAGGCCTAGGGTCTGTTCTGTGAGCCAACACGTCATGCTGTCAGTCAGTAGTTACGTCCTCGTCAAAAACTGGGGCAATCAGGCCCAGGACAGGCATGGCAAATTTGGGTGACTTGATCTGATTGGGCAGGAGGATTAAGTTAACCCATTAGTGGATTATCCATCTCCGTGCTGAGAAACAGCGTTCAGGTAAGACACGCCCCATCTCATTAGTTTCTGGAAGTTCTGCCCAACTGTTTCATATCAGCCATAATTCAGCAGAACCTAAACCCAGATCCCTGGATTGATCTTGGCAAGTGGCATTTCAGGTTGAATATTTAAGTACATTTGAATATCCCCAATCTTCCTTTTGTGAAGAGGTTTCTTTCCCATGGAAGGAGAAAAAAAAGTAGTTTTCTTCAGAGTGGGTGCTCTGTGTGTATCAGAAGACAGATGTATAGGCACTGTAGTCCACTTTCAGAATAAAATCTAGGAATGTCCTTCTTATAAGAACTTCTCTTCAGCCCCCTCTCTAAAGAAAAAAATGCCTATGCTTCTTAACCACAGGATTAGAAAGAACTCAGAGGTTTCTGGATTGTCTATGTCACTTGTATTGTCTTTACTTTTTTGCACTTGCACGGAATTACCGAATACATCACAAAGTTCATAAACTCCTATATGGAAAAACTATAGATGGCTCCCAAATGTAATGTAATCTGATGATTTTTCCTTTTTTCTAGATACTTATTTTATTTATTTTATTTTATTTTTTAATTTTATTTATTTTATTTTGGTTTTTTTTCTGTTACTTCTACTCAAAGGAACTCAGAGCATCTTATCTTTGCAACAATTTCCATGGCTATGGCTTTGGAAAGGGAAAGTGCTATTGGCTGCCTATGAAAACAAAAGGAAAATTTCCCATGTGTCCCAATCCACAATATTTAGAATGAAGTGGACTGTATCTCCAAAAAAGCATATAGGCTGTGATAAATTTGTTAATCATAACTTGCCAGAAGACTCTTGGCTTTTATTAATAAAGTCTCTCTCTCTCTCTCTCCCTCTCTCTCTCTCCTTCCCTCCTCCCTCCCTCCCTCTCCCCCCCCCTCTGTGTATGTATGTATGTGTAAGAGAGAGAGATGTATTCAGGCTGTGAGCCTCTACGCCTAGATCACAATACTACTTAATTTTAAAAACAGGAAATGCAGAGCTGTTTTCAAGCATTTGCCCAGCTCTCGCCCTTCTAGTTTATGCATTTTAATGAGCTTTCCTTTCCCCTTTTCATTAAAATTGCAATATTGCCTTATAAGCCCCGAACTAACAGGACTGAAAGGATGCCCTGTGGCCTTGGCTGTTGCCATAGCAACTGGCCTAGCTGCTGCCTGAGCAGTTTTCTGACAAATCAACAAACTTCCATCTGAGCTCCAGTTCCCAATTCAGGGAGAATAAAAGGGGCTTTTGTGAGGAGCAAGATCCTTGGTGTTTGCTTTGTCTTTAGAAATCTCTGGGCACTGGATTTAATTTCGTTTTCTGTTTTGGGAGCTTCTGAAAAAAACATGTTATGCTCTCTGTCTGAATTGTCTGGAATTCATAGAATAAAAGGTAGAGCCTTCCCCAAGCTGGTGCCCTCCAAATATGTTGGAATTTTATTTTCCATAATTCCCAATCTGTATTTCTTGCTGGCCAGGAATTTTGGGAACTGTTGTGCAACATATTTAGAGTGCATTAGGTTAGAAAAGGCTAATCTAGCAGAAAATGAAATTATTATATTTTTATTTCATCTTTCACATCTATCAATCCTAATTCCTACCAGCCTATCTAGTCTTAGGTGTCTGAAAAGTCAGTCTTTCCTCCTGTGTCCTTTTATCAATTAATTTAAGTCTGCTAAAATTCAAAGTAAAACATAACATAGTTTAAATAATTATTTGTATTATTATCATGAAATAGTCGAGTGGAAGCCAAACTGTAGGAAAAGAGGCATTGATTTCATTGCACATCCAGTTCCTGTGCTGGCAATTTATTTGTTTTTAATTCTGCAGAGTTGTAAAGGACAACAGTATCAGTTAATTCAGCCCTCAATGTTAATTAACATTGACACTGATCCAAGCAAACAGTTCTTCTGGAGCTGATGCATTAATTAACTCGAGGACATCATTGCTACTGAATATTTTTCATATCTTTTGTTTTGTCCATGTATACAGCAAGTTTATAAAATAGAAAAGAATGGATAAATTTAGTCTGTAAGAGAAGAATGCTGAATGGACATGTTAATAGATAGCTCCTAGTTTCTCTTAGCTTTGACCACCATATCTCGCTGCAAAAATCTGAATGACCATTGCAAGAAAGCAAAGAGGTACCTAAAATTATAAACATTCTTGCTATCTGGTGATTGTATTTTTGCAGCCTGTATCTATTAGCCATATATTATTTATGCTGAAATTTCCAGGTACAGTTGTAAATCCTCTCTTAAGTGTCTGTAGAAAAGCACCTTGTAAAAAGAAAGTTAGTACTACATATTTCTTTGCCTGCTAATTGTCTTTCTGTTTGCAAAGAAGTTCTAGCGTCAGGGAGATTTCACGTGCTCTTCCATTTGCAATCCAAAATGGTACATGCTATTTTATCATCTCTTATGGCTCAGTTGTTTCTCAATCTCAGCCATTTTAAGATGTGTAGACTTCATCTGAGTTGCTGAGGTTGAGAAATACTGTTCTATGCATAAAAGGTGGCAAATACAGTGGTTGTTAAAGACAGCCCAGATTGAAATCCAATAAAGCTCATTGAACAATCTAGGATAAGTAACCTACCTCATAACTCAGCCCCCTCACAATGTCATTTTGCAATGAACATGGATAGTTATATGTTACTTTGAATAAAATCTGAATAGAAATGTGGTTGTTATTTTATTATATTAGTTTGTTTATTACATTTTTATGCCACCCATCTCTTCTATAAGGTGACTTTGTATTTGAGCTAAGATTGGGCCAACCAGCCAAACAATTGTTGTACTCTTGAAAAGAGACTGAGAGCTTCTGAAGTGAAGAACAAAGTTTTGGAAATAGGTAGACAATTTTCTACCTATTTTCTGCATAGGATAGGATAGGATAGGATAGGATAGGATAGGATAGGATAGGATAGGATAGGATAGGAAGTCTTCTAGTCCAGCTCCCTGCTTAAGCAGGAGAACCTATACCACTTCAGACCATTCCAGTCTCTTCTTAAAAACCTCCATTGATGGAGCATTCACAACTTCCAAAGGCAAGTTGTTCCACCGGTTAATTGTCCCCACTGTTAGGAAGTTTCTCCTTAATTCCAAGTTGCTTCTCTCTTTGATAAGTTTCCAACCATTGTTTCTTGTCCTGCCCTCTGGTGCTTTGGAAAATAGTTTGACCCCCTCTTCTTTGTGACAACCCTGAAATACTGGAATACTTCTTTACTGTTATCCAATGATTGTTAGGAACCATTCAGCACACATTTTATACCTGTTCTCTTATCGGCATTGAGCTGGTAATAGATTTTATACCAGACTAGAGGGAAAGGAGGTACTATATTAAAAATCACTTTTGCTACCGGATCAAAAGTTGGAGATAGGATTCTAGTTTTATGCTACCTTTCTGCTGCTTGCTTAGCTACTCCAACTCTGTTGCTGTCTTTAATACATACAAATAGCTCTCTTATTTTCCATCAAGATGTCTGCACAACCCAGGAGAAAATCCCCTCACCCAAGCAGCTGTCAAATACTCTTTCTGTAGCAGAATTTCCTGTTTGCACCTCCTTAAGGTCAAATTTTTCTATGAAAGGTTCACACTTCATAATTAGACATAATGTGGTTTTCTTATTTCTAGTTTAGGAATAGGTGTGAATTCAGTGACCTGCTCCAAATCTTTCTGCAGCTGGGCTGTTGTATTGTGGGTAAATGGTGCATTTTGCATTAAAAGTATCCAAAACATTTGCTTTCTATAAGGTCAGCATGTTCATAAATATTTACATTTTCCATCTAGGTAGAAAATGGCGCTGAATATATCCTTGAAACGATAGATTCGTTGCAGAAACATTCCTGGGTGGCGGATATACAAGACTGCATAGATCCTGGGTAAGACGTCATGGTGATCTGATACTGAGCAAACTTAACAAGTGTTGCTAGAATAGCTCTGTGTGGAAAAGAGAATATTTCAGCGATCAGCAGTAGCCTGCTTTCCAAGGACTTCCTTGGATTTTCTTATCAAGTTATCTTCTGTATTACTTACATTTATCTGGATTTTAAGAACTATGTCAGAGCCATTGCTCTTAGTTTATTACGTTGGAAGATCTGGCAAGTGAGTGCCAATTCATCAAAAAAAGACTGAGTCTTGTTTGTGCATTGCTGTCACTCTATGATGGATTTATTGAATTCAATACACTTTTCTAACTCCTTCTTTGTAAACTTTTCTTCCAGATTGAAAAAGCCTTATTTTTGGTGATGGTTGAATATTTAGGAAACAATCCCTTTGCTAACTATTTTAAATGGGTGTTATTTTGCGTTATGCTGGGAATATTTAAGTATTTATTCTCTTTTGTAAAGCTCTTTTTGGAAAGGTAAAAGTGCAGAACAAGAGTAGAAACCTTTTTTGGCCATTTAGGCACATTTTAAAATATTGAGAATGCAATGGGTATGATCAAAAATGGCTTTCAGAGAGGACCTACTTATTTGCAGAAAGAACACTGGTGGGTGTAGCAATTACAAAATACTCATTTCTGAGAAGGCAAACTTATTGAGTTATCTTCTCAGGACTCTTATTAGCTCCCATTATGCTTTTTACCATTGCCATATTATTTTAGTCTTTTTCTCCGGGCAGGTGGATAGCTTTGAAACAAAGCCTTAGGCTATGGCTAGCTAGAATTTTTGTTTTGTCAAACTTTATGAGGTTCAGAAACTTCCTCTAAATATAAACAATGACAATTGGCTTAGTCATTTGGCCAGTTACCCATTTAACTTTTAAAAAATTAAATAGACCCATTTATTTTTTAAAAAATTGGAATCCAAAAATATAAGGATTACTGCAGCAAAAATTGTAATTTGCAAGTTGAATAGTACTTATTGCTTCCTTCAATTGTGTAAAGTTGGGGTGATTGGCTTTTGGTGAGCCCCTTTCCTTTTGTGAATTCTACAGTTTCGGACTAGTTAGGTATACTAGGGCTACTCTTGTCTGTTGAAAAAATTTGCACCACCACTAGAAGGCAGCAGAGAACTACAGGAAACTCTTCTCAGCCATTGTCCAAATTTGCAGTTTAGATCTGGTAGCCGAGTACAGAAGTGCTCCCATTCACTTCACAGCATTTAACAAAAATAAAAGGATCAAGTTGAAGTCATGGTTAGAATGGACAATAATCTCTTCTAGAAAAAAACCTTCACAAAGCTGTAGGCAGTTTGCTGTAGTTTCAATCAATAGTGATTATCTGATGCAATGACATAAACCTGCATTGATTGGCTGAAAGGCAAACACACGGTGTTTTCCTATGGAGAGCCAGCAAGTAGCCCTTTCTGCTCTTATCAAGCTTCTGAAGAAGCTGATCTCCAAATACTAGTTGATTTAGGGTGTTCTATACTGGAAAAGGAAACACACTGCTAGTATATTTTTCCTTCTGTCTGCACCCATTGCGAGTTTTCTTTGTCACAATGTTACACTATCTTTTAAAATGTACCTGCATGCTATACTATTCCTTAGTTTGCTGTCTTAGTGGGGAATTGTGGCATTGGTTTTCAGTAGTTATGGTCAGAGGAGACTGCAGTAAAAGTTAAAATTCACTAAATTTCGGGGGCCCATCCTTGACCTAAAAGCTATTTTTTCCTGGAGCCATGTGGTTCAATATTCTGTGAGAATGACAAACTTATTCCAATTTGGTAGGAGTGTTATTAGCCATCATAGTAAGGATTAGAAGTTCAGTGTCCTGGATTGCCAACTGTTAGGGTCAAAGTATAGGATAAAACCTCTGTGCTTATGACTACGTGTGACCTATTTCTCCCAACTCTCCGAAAGGGGAGAAGAGTGCTTTGATATTGTCAGATCTCCATTTTAACTTTTTGTAAGAGTCAGCAAGGGAAGGAAAAAAGTGGTAAGCATCTTTTTAACTGCTCTGCTGCCCCCTTTTTTATGTGCTCAGGTCTCCCAACAGATGAGCTAAGCTATAACTCCTCCTGCCATTATACCATCACCATATATATCGGGGGTGTCAAACTCAATTTCATTGAGGGCCGCATTAGCATTGCAATTGCCCTCGGGGTGTGTGTGGCCAGGATGGGTGTGGCCTACTGGGTAGGCGTGGATGGAAAGGGTGTGGCCTACTGGGTGGGCATGGCCAGCTCTACATCATTCGCATCAAGGGTGCCTGTGGGGGCCTGGGCAGGAGTGGGACAGCTCTGAGGGTCTCTGGCAGAAAGGGGTGGGACCAGGGCAGAGCCCATCAAGCTGGATATGTAAAGTAGGCGAGGGCCATTTGCTGGCCACTTCCAGGCGATGGTGCATTTCTTCATTCCTCACAAAGGGTGACACCTCCCCAGCATGCACCCAGGGGGCGGAGCCGACGCGGCAGGGGCTGGTTCCTCGCTGGCTCCAGATGGCCTTGTGGAGCTAAGACTGAATGCATTTCAGCATAGATGGCCATCACAAAATTGTACATTGGCTCCCGGCTGGCCTGGGCCAGGGCCAAGGCAGCGGGGGCCGTTCCCTCAGTTTCCAGGATGGTTTTGCGGGCCACATGAAACCACTTCCCGGGACCCCAGGCCTTGTGTTTGACATGTCTGATATATATGAACCAAGATAATATTCCTCCAGATTTGGGAAGGATTAGCCTTCCCTCTCACAGTCCTGATTTATGGGGTGAAAGTGAGTTAGTGAATGACTAAATAGAGAGTGGAGAGTTTTCCCATATGCAGCTCTGAAGAGGTATAGCAGCATTCAAAAGGTTCTGGCCCTTTAGTAAGATTACAAAATACATGTTTTATGGGAATCCTCTTCAGTTGGTGAATGATAACTTTGCACCCCCTCCTCTGCTTTACCCTTCCTTCCAGTGTTCAGCACACAGCTGCAGAAACTCACTGGTGCAGCACCATCCACTGTCCAAACGCCCACTCTTCTCTTCTTTCCAGGGACAGTGGTGATGACATTGAACTCTCTTCCTGTACTCAAGGAGCTTGCCTGCCAAGCAGAGTGTCATCTTGTAGCTGTGAGTTCCTGGCTGATGGTAATAAGATTTTATTTTTATTTTTTTAAAAAAAGGTTGTCTTAAAAATTGGTTCAGGCCTCTGTTATTTTGTTTAAACACTGCTTTTGTTTAAAGTTTAATTTTCAGGTACCTACACATACCTGAACTTTGCCAGTCTCCAATTGGAGGCGTTGATTTTTTACTGCAGCAGAACACAAGAGCCTGGAGCATTCATGAACTTTTCTTTTGTCTTATGATCCCTGGTTCAGCAGGTATCATAAGGATCTGAAAGAATACCTTGAAAAAAAAATGTAGTGAAGGAAATGATGATTTGAAGCAATTGGCAGCCTTGAGTCTATAAGTTCATTGTCATAGGAAAATGTGGTTGGGAAAAGTAGCACACATTTTTTTAAAAAGAAAATAAAATTATCTTCCAGATGTCACCCGGTGCCAGGATAGGTGTGCTGGCTCAGCTGCCTCAGATAGCATATCAAATGCTACCACAATTGTAACAGCACCCTATGGTAGGATCTCTGCAGGGGAATATAGAGCGCATGTGCCATTAGAGAATTTCCTGCAGACACTGGAGTCTCCAGCCAACAGGAGTCACACAGCAGGTATAGTAGTTCTGTTCCTCAGATGATCTGGAGCTTATGTTTTTCACAGTTTAGAAAAGATCAGCTGTTCGTTCTCCCATCCCAAAAATATGTTTCTGCTTCTTTGTAGATATATTGATAACAATGTGTATGTTATACAGTATTGAATCATGCATGTCAACAATTAACAATTCAGCTAAAGTTATGTTTGTTATTAATGCTCATTATTTTTTCAAATTCTTAGCAATTTCAATGTTGTTCCAATTATTTATGACAAATAGATTAGGAGCAGCTTGAAATCCTGAAGTGGTTGCTAAGTGACACTAGGTTGTAATAATGAGCTAAATAGGCAAATACCATATATGCCGGCGTATAAGACGACTTCCGCAAGTGCTAAACTCGGCGCCAAAAACGGAGGTCGTCTTATACACCGGGTCGCCTTGTACGCCGGCAGATACGGTAGTCTGGAATGGCATATTCATAAGAGTTGGACAGGCTTACTTAAACCTTCAAGTCCAACTTCAGCTTTATACAGTAAAGAAATATAAAATGAAATAAAAACATTTTGACAAATTGGCTTTTGTAATGAGTAAAGTTGGTAATTTAGACTACTGTGATTCTCAGGCTAGAGAGAAACATTGCAACATTGCATGCCTATCAAGCTATCAAGAGAACAGCCCAGAAGTTAGGAGGAAAAAAGTCAAGTATGTAAATCACGGAGTGCAGATCCTTATGTAGCTTATATAGTTAAATACCTGGAAAACTGAGATTTACAGCCCAACATGAAGCCTGACAACTGTGTAACGTCCGTATGATGATAATGTGCAAAGAAAATTTCATCATCTCTTCAGGCACAGTTGAACTTCTCATATTGCTAGAAAGTTTATTTAAATATTATTTTTGTCTTCTGTTATATTATTTATCTTACCCAATTTTATGTCATTTTCACATTTGATAAGCATTCTTTCCATCTTTTCATTCTAGTCGTTAATAAAAATGTTGAAGAGTACAAACTGCAGAAGTAAATTTTGTGGCACTCTATTGTGGCAGTTTGATGATGCTTTGTAGTTTTTGAACTGGTTGTAAAAACATCTTATAGACATACCATCCATTCCATATTGAACTGAATATCATTGTCGGGTGCCTTCCTGAAATCAAGGTTTTGTCCATAGCATTCCTGTAGGGGATATTAAGCAAGTACATTAAGCAATTATAAGATACAGATAACTGAGTAAGACTTGTTTTTCACAAGTCCAGGTTGTCTTCTGTAAGCACCTCTTTGTTTCTATAGGTGCTCAGAATTTAATCCTTTATTACAGATAATCCTCAACATACGACCACAATTGAACCCAAAATTTCTGTTGCTAAGTGAGACATTTGTTAAGCCAATTTTGCCCCATTTTATGACATTTCTTGTCACAGTTGTTGAGTGAATCACTGCAGTTATTCAATTAGTAGCATGGTTGTTAAGTGAATCTGGCTTCCCCCTTGACTTTACTTGTCAAAAGGTTGCAAATGGTGATCAGATGACCCTGGGACACTGCAGTCGTCATAAACATGAGTCAGTTGCCAGGCATCTGAATTTTGATCACGATGGGGATGCTGCAACAGTCGTGTGAAAAATGGTCATGTCACTTTTTTTCAGAGATGTTATAACTTTGAGTGGTCACTAAATGAAGTGTTGTAAGTCAAGGACTACCTGTATTTGGTCTAGTGCTTTCCTAGGTTTCTGAGGGCTCTGTAGTTTCCTGGATTCCTTTTTCCCCTTTTTTTAATTATAGAAAAATTGCCCTCTATTCATTTGGCATTTCACTCATTCTCCATAATTTTTCAGAGATAATGTGCAAAGGTTTATCCATCTCAGTTTTTGATCTTGCTCATAACTGTAGGCTGGAGAAAGCTGAGCTCCAATACAACTTTAGTAGTTTCATCTTTCTAATCTATTTGCAGTTTTTTTAGCACTGGGAATTAGAATACTGTTTGCTTTTAAATAACTCTGTTCTTCAATTGCTACATCAACAAAAGTTAGCCCTCCCAGGTACACCAGAAAGGAAACAGGATTAGATGATCTAATTCTACTTTATTGTAAGGCTATGTTATCAGAATCTTGCAAATCACTGCTACTTTTAACTGCTTGATCCACTAGGGCAAACCCTTCCTAAATTTCTTTCTTTGATTGTTAAGCCACTGGGGGCTCCTGCATCTCTTGTCTGATGGTTTCCTAGTCAGCATCTCTTCCCCTCATTCCCCAAGGTCATCTACACATTCCATTGCAACAAATGATGTACGTTAAATCATTTTTACTTCCTGTGCTATGAGTTTAGGCTCATCTTGTTTATTTCCCATATGGTAACAGTGTATAGACCCTGAAAGTGATTACATTTATAAGCCAATACAATGTTTCTTGAGATTTTTCACTAAATGGGCTAATCGGGAATATTCTCACTTCTTTTTACAGTGCCAAAATCATTATCCAAGGTCCTTATTTCAGGAGTTTTATCTTCAATCCCCACAAGAATCAGTTTAAATCCCTCTTAATCAAATTTAATGTGCTTTGGCCAACACCATCTGCCCAGTCCTCATGAGGTATAACCATCTCCTGCCAGTAGTTTTTTTGTTCAGAAAACTCAGAGTCAAGTTACAGGAAAAGATAACTATCAGTGGAATTGTTAAGACTTAAAGATAATTCTATAATAGTTAATCTCTGGTTCTGACAGACACTTCCTTCTTTGAGCTATAAAATCAGTCAGCATATTTGTTCCATGTAGTTGTAAGTTACCAAGTACAAAGACTTTTTTCAGTGTCTTCTTGCAAGCTAGTTACACAGATACACCCCTATTCAATAGCATCACTTTTTCTGTCATTGAAGACCTCAAACCTGTTTGTTTTCTGCAAAGACCTCAAAGCTATTTATGGTGCATAATATCTTCTAAGTATTTCCAGTTATTACTCCCATTTTGCTGCTTTGTTCAGTTTTTCTTTAGAAAGGGATGTTTCCTCTCTCAATTCTTATTGTAATAAATTTTTATCCTTTCTTATGAGCTGAAGTGTTGCCATTACCTGCTGCAATCCCTGCCCTTTTTATTTGTGCACAGCTGCAAGTTTATACTTGCTGCATATGTACAACACGTTTTTAGGCACACATTTCAGGCATGAAGGCCATAATTGTGAAGTGTGTCCATTCTCTTAATTTCTGTTTTTTTAAAGTCTACAGGTAGAAAGTTGTAGGTAGGAGATGACCAGGCTGAGCCCAAGGGAGGGGTCAAACGCATCATCAGTGTCGAGTACCTTTGCGTCCACAAGAGATCTAAGTCCAGCCCACCTTGAATTTCTTTGACTCATATCTTATCTATCACCAATTTGCTTTGACTGTTAGTAGTTCAGATTCTTGTAAAGAGCATGAGCTTGCAATAAACCCTTATATTCATTTTAAACGGCCTGGAGTTCCTGATTTTCTTGCGCTTGACAAAAGGCTTTTATTTCTTCTTGCTCCAGTCTCAGGTTAGTTGAATACCTACTGACCACTTAGAAGAAAAATATGTTAGGAAAATCCCTATTAAGCTCCCCGGTCAAATTCCTGTTAGCTTTCTATTTGTTCATTATTTGAAAATGAGCTGCCTTGTATTCTTTCAGCAGCAGCAGCAGCAGCCACTGCTTGTTGAGTAACTTGCAGGAAGCATTCACACTGTCATCCACCATGAATATCAACAGTTCTCTGGACATACCTTTGCCATTACCAATTATGCAGGAGATAATCTTTTCATTCCACACAGTGGAACACACATACCCTAAGGAAGCAGTTCTTTTTGATCCATTTCCCCCTTTCCTCCTGCTGAATTCCACAACCAAGCTTCTACTGGCTCTCTCATTAGCTATTCCAGATATATAGTGGATTTATACTCCAGAGTTATTATGTGTATCTCTAAATAATTTGATCTGCAAAGTAGAAAAGTATGCACTGTAACGTACATACAGACATATTTGATTCACTGAAAAGATAACATTAGCCATATCTCTTTGCTGAAAGAGCATTCAGGTATAAACATATATTGGTCTTGGTAAGTGGGAAAATCTACAATAATTTCTCCTGCATCCTCTACTCAAACATCCCTCCAGACAGCACTGCAATGAATGTAAAGCTGTGTTGAATGTCAGGCATTCAGGTTTTGTATTTTATTGTTCCTGTTTCCTCGCTGTTGCAGGAGATGAAAATGAGCTGGAAGCAGAAATCAATCTCTTGGAGTTTCCTTGGTTCCATGGGACACTATCACGTGTTAAAGCAGCCCAGCTAGTACTCTTTGGTGGAGTCAAAAGCCATGGCTTATTTGTCATTCGGCAGAGTGAAACACGGCCTGGTGAATATGTGCTGACCTTTAACTTCCAAGGAAAAGCCAAGGCAAGTGATCTTTATTCATGAATGGATAATTCATATTTTCTTCTAGTATTTAAAGTGAAACCACAGGAAATATAGGGGCATGTTTTCCTTAGTTTTTAATTTACCTTGAAAATTAAATCATCTGTTCAAAGGGCTTTAGTGGAACATGGTAGCAAGCTTGAATTCCGTTATAAAATAAGAAGTAAAAAAACCCATAGACACCACCAACTACTTTGACCTGGGTGCAATATTCCCTGATTGCCAGTTGAAGGAAAATTGGCAAGATGCTAAGCTCACATATCGTGGTTTGTTTGATTTTAGCTTAATATACTCTATAAACCCAGCCAAAAGTTTAATCTGGGAACCAGATTATGTGTAGTTTATTCATTTCTACAGGAAAGGGGGGATGTTAGGAATGACAGAATTTGCCTTAAAACGCAATGGAGTTTGTGTCTGTGCTCTGGCAACAACTTTTTGTGATTGTATATTTGTGCGTGCACAAAACAGATACAATGCTGGATTTTTGTATCCATATGCCAGATCAACACAGACAGAGCGTTCTCTTGTTCTTTTCTTTTGCTGCCATCTGGAATTTTTAAAAATGTTTTAAAATAGCAGCCCTTTATACATTTGGTGTCTCTTCTTTGACTGGTGCTTATAAACAGATTCATTCTTCTAATCCAGCATATTGGATATATATCTGCCAATCTTATGCTTCCTGTGAAACCTTTTATTTCTCCCAGCTAAAATTGGAAACAAGCTGTTGCCATGTTATAAAAATTTACTTTCATCTTATAATTATCATTGCCCCCTCTGTAACTACCTGAGTCACAACCAGTGCTTTTTTTGTAAAAAAATAAAATAAAATAAGGTGCCGGAACTCACACTTGTCACACAATCCGCCTTGCCTACCCTAGAAGGTTCCATCCAAAAAAGGTGCTGGAACTCCGTTCTGTGCGTTCTATGACAAAAAAAGCCCTGGTCACAACTCTTGAGTGCACTGCACAGAGAGATGCAGCAGATAGCCACATTATTCTGTTCATATGTCTGGACTGGAAGGTGCTAACACAACTGAGTTCAATACAAAGAAGCAAAATATATTATCTTTACCTGTTGCACTTGTCTATAGGAGCTAATTGGAAGAAAGTAAACAGTATTACTTCTTATCTGCAGTTGGTGATGTTGCTATACATACAGTATACAAACAGTAGTGCCTCCAGATCCTCCTCTAATGCCCATCAAAATCAAATCCAAGTACAGAATGAAGAATATCTGCCTTGGCAATACTTGTAAAAACGATACTGGACTAGTAGCTGATGATAAACTGAATACAAGTCAGTAGTATGCAGGGTGGATTTGATTTAAATCAAGTCGATTTAAATCACGATTTAAATCACTAGTAAAAAGGCTTGATTTAAATTCAAATCATATTTTTTTTAAACAAGTTTTATTGGTTTTTTCATTTTACAGACAAGTGCTTAAGAAACAATGTGGTAATCAATTATCAACACAACAAAGTCATACTCATAGAATTCAGATTAAATCATTAAAAAACCCCTCTCTTTTCCCTCTAATAACATGTTATATTCAAATTAATATATTTCAATACGATTAGATCTATCATATCAATCCTCAATAACTTTTCATCTAAATAGATCCACAAATCCAGATCCTGTATGAAGCTTAGTATTTCAATTACTATATTCCATATTTCTAATCTAAATACATAGTTAACACTTCGGGAGTCTCCCCATTACCTTTTCCCTTAACATATTCAATAAACATTTATTAATATCATTTCTTCTTTTTCCCTATTCCTCCTCCATTACAAAGTGACTATCAGTTCATATATATATATATATATATATATATATATATATATATATATATATATATTAGTTCATATCAAAAAAGAAGAACAAAGAAGAAAAAACAAAAACAAGACAGAAAAAAATGAAAAAGTGCCTTTCTATTTCTATTATACTTTATAATCTAACAATCAATCCCTCAATATCTATATCACATTTCTTTAACCTCCTCATTATTACTATATCCAAAACATTATATATAGTTATATATATACATAGACAAACACCTTATTATTAAGTTCAGACCTTTAATTAATTTTTATTCAATCTAACATCTTATTTAACTGTCTTAAGCCATAGATCAATCCATATCTAGTAAGCCTTTTAAATTCATTACATAAAACCTTAAATCACATTCTTAAATCTTATTCTAGCTTTCCTTTTCTGCCAAACAGGTTTCTATAACAACACCACTATATCAATAAACAAATCATTTTTTATGTCTTGTAGTATCCTTTGAGACAAACAGAGACTGTTTTAGAGACCTAGCTCCTTTGTAAATAATCCCTTGTTTAGAAAAGTCAAATCTTCACATTTGAAACTGTTGAATGGCCGGCTCAATTACGTCCAACTTTGTAGCTAATAGTTGTTTATCCAAGCTACCATAGTTCTCAGTTCGTTGGGCTTGTCTGTCCATTTCTGTTAGTTTTAGGTTTGTAAGTCGTTTAATTACAGTCTTTTTTAATTCCTCGGAGATCTCATCAGCCTGCGTATGAAGTAAAATGGAATCTTCTTTGCCTTTAGTTAATTCCGCTTCTGTTGTTTCTTGGTCCATAGAGTGCTCAGACAAAGTCTGGGAGTCAGTTTGTAGGCTCAGAGCAGAATTTCTGTTTTTTATTTTCATTGTGAATTCATTTATTTGCAAATGTATTTCATCAGTAGCTTCATAAAGTTTTTCCAGTATAAGTTTATAGTCAAGTTGAACCAAGGGTTACTCCATTTCAAAGATAATTAAAAACAGTCTGTATCATTTAGTAGAGGCTGTGTTCAGAAAACATTTAATCAGTGTCCACCCCACCAGTACAGCTGTTAATTTTCTTTGTATTTTCCCTTTTATGGTAATCTGAAAGTCAAGGTCAGTCCAATCCTCATAAGAGAAAGATGCAATTTTAACTTTTTCCACAAGGTATCTTCAGAGACCAGTAATCTCATAAACAAGATCAGGAGACACAGAAAAAAGAGGAATTCAAGTCCAATAGCAGATTCAATATTCACAAAGTTTTCCAAGACCCCAAAGAAAAATAAAATAAAAATAGAAAAAAAATCACTTTATTTCAGTCCATTTAAGCTTCTTTTTCCCACACTCACAAACGCCATCTTCTTAGAGTAGGGAAATCATTTCAAAAGTGCTCCTTACAGGCACAAAAGAAAAAAGAAACCCAAGAGAGGGAGAGAAAAAAAAAGTCTCACCCGGCTCAGCCATGGTGGTTCCTGTGCTTAGATGTTCTTCTGACTTCTGGTTGCAGCGGCTAGATGAACTGCCATTTTACTGGCCGTTGTTTCCACCATTGGCCCAAAGGAGCAATCTCGGTCCTTGGAAGAAGCTGCCGTTCTCCCAAGGATGATGAGGACCTCCTCACCAGTAGCTGCCCCTCCAAGACGGCTTTTTGACCCGATTAAGGATCTACCGGCAGCGGAGAATCAGCTGGCGAGGAGAGCCGTCTCCTCGCACAGCTGCAAGCGCCGCGATCAGGAACCGGAAGTCCGATTTAAATCATAATTTTTAAAGAGCACCTGCCATCTCTGTCCCGCAGCGCTCTTCCTCTGACCCGCCGTTGGCTCACCGACAGTCCCATTCACTTTAATGGGATGGCTGGTGATGCGGCAGTGACGCAACAAGGTGAGGGATGTGGCCGGCAGCAGATGAATGGATGCCCACTAACAGGCGCTGCCGTGATGGATCTGAAATGACAGGTGCTCTTTAGAAGTAAGGACTCATTCTTGCTGGTAGTTAGAATCTTTAATATTATTATTTGCAAACAAAATGAAGGTTTCCTATTTAGAATAATAAGCTGTCAGGTTAGTAAAACAGCGATATCAGAACAGATTTTACATTAATAGGTTAATCATACATAGTTGGAGAACTACTCAAATTCTTTATTTAATTAAAATACTTAGAGCAGTGATTCTCAACCTTTCTAATGCCGTGACCCCATAATACAGTTCCCCATGTTGTGGTGACCCCCAAGTGGGTGTGGCTACCAATAAGAGGGAGTAGGACAGCTAGGGAAAAGGGAAAAAATGGCGGAAAGCATGGTTTGGCGACCCCCGTGAAATGGTCATTTGACCCCAAATGGGGTCCCGACCCACAGGTTGAGAACCACTGACTTAGAGCCTGGTACAGATGCATTTCTCTTCAAACAATTATACAGTTTGTAGTGTACATAGATTTGCAAAACAATGGGATAAAGGAATATTCCTGAACTTTGTTTTATGATTTATCTCATGGCTACTGTGAAATTGTGTGAATGCATCAACACAGTGCATGTTATCTCAGCTTGCAGAGTTTGGATTTATTGAATGAGTTTACCAAAAATGTAAATATTGCAGAATACACAGCCTCATGCTACAGAACTAAGCTCCATTTCATGCTGAATAAACTAAATTATTAATGTATCTTAAATAGAAAACTGTCTTTAGATAGATTTTTACTCCAAAAGCATTTCATTAAAATAAATTTGATAAAAATAAAAAAAATCTGATTTAAATAAAAAAAATCAGATTTGAATAAAAAAATCGATTATTTTTTTTTAAAAATCATTGATTATTATCCACTCTGGTAGTATGATATGATTACTAAAAAGACAAAGGCAAGTTAGATTGCACCAACAGAGATATTGTTTCCTAATCATGCGAATTAATAATTCCACTTTATGCTCCATTAGCCATATGCGACCTTCTGTATTATGCTCATTTGTGTGCATAGTACTAATAATAATTCAGACAAGTGATCAGAGGACTGGAAACTAAATTGTACAGCAAGAGATTGACCCTATTCAGTTTGTTTCTAGCTTTGAGAAAATAGGGTTAAAAGGGATATGATAGCCTGAATAGTCCATGATCTCTTCTCTAACATTCCAAGTGCAAAACACGGAATGTGAGCATTAATGTATAGGCAGGCAGATTCCTATTTAACATTAAAAAAAATTAACAATAAGAAGGGTGTAACAGTGGAGTACGTTCTTGTATGTAACTGAACGTTATGATGTTAAATTGAGCTTGAATGTAGTAACCATCCCGTAGACCTCCAAAATTTTCTTCTCCAGCGGTGTCCCATACATTAAATGTAATGGGGCCTCTATTAGTGTGGAACACGGAGGATGAACTTCAGTTCTCAAAGCAGCTAAATACTTTTTCTCAAATTCGCCAGTCAAGTGGCATTTCACAAATGTTGTTTTACGAGTAACACCATCACCAAGCAAAACTTAAACTGCATTTGGGGTTCTACTTACAGTGCGGCCGTGCTGCGTTTCAAAAGAAATGCAAGAAAGGAAAAGAGAGCCATGCTCGGGCACTCCGCTCCCTACCTACCTACGCGGAACATATAAGTAAGAGTAAATTACCTACTGAGACGGAGGAAGTATCCCTTTTTCAAAATACATTCAAGCAGAGGCTGAATAGCCATCTGTGTAGAGTGTTTTACTCCTGTACTGAGTAGGAGTTGAATTTGATTGCCTAAATAGTCCAACTTTATGATTATTATACAAATAGGATTATAAAGGAAATGGTAAGGCAAAAAAACAAATTAAATTGGTGCAAAGATTATTTATTGGGGGCATCCATCTCTGGTATTTCATGTGTTAAAATAGTTCTCAAATGCTTAGAACAGGGACAGTGGTAACCAGTCAGTAAAAATAATTAATTCTCTTTTCAGCACCTGCGTTTGTCCTTAAATGAAAATGGTCAGTGCCATGTCCAACATCTTTGGTTCCAGAGTATTTTTGATATGCTGCGGCATTTTCATATGCATCCCATCCCACTGGAGTCAGGTGGTTCTGCTGACATAACCCTCCGCAGCTATGTAATGACCCAGAGCCCATTGCCAGGTGAGTCAAGTTCTCATACTTGCAGTTTTATCTTGTAACTGGGCAAAACAAAGAATAAAAACTTCTCAAATATTTGAGGCTTATTTATATTCTTGTGCAAAAAACTAAAAACTTGATCGGTGGATGGAAATAGAAGTTTTACTGAATTAAGAAATATTCAAAAGAAGTTACCCATTATTTGAAATTATTTCACAGCATGCATGCATACATACACATACCTATTCATATTCAGCATAGTATTCACTTTCAGGATAAAAAACATTATGCAGAATTCAGAAAAAAAATTGAAAAAACTGGCAAAAAAAGTTAATGCAGAACATAAGAGACAAAGAAACTAAACCTATACCATTCACTCTTTATTCTTTTAGTCCTTGCAAACCATTGTTACATCTTCTATGCTCATACACAATTTGACTGAGAACCACAGTTGGAACTGGAATCTTGGTTGCTGAATGGTGCAGTCATTAAGCAAGTCATCAAAAGTCCAGACTCATTTTTGCAATCATTTTTACCATTGTCATTAAGTGAATCACATGGTTGTTAAGCAAATCTGGCTTCCCCAATTGACACTGCTTGATGGATACAACCAGATTTGGGACCAGAAAGGTCACAAGCCACAACCACATGACTGCAGGAAGCTGAAACTGATCATAAATGTGAGCTGATTGCCAAATGCCATATTACAATTACGTGCCATTTCAGTTGTCATTTCTCCTTTGTAATGAAAACCATAATTGCCTTCTTTCAATCATCAGGGACAGATGCAGTTTTCACATATGTGTTAAACGAGTCATATAATTACTTTGTAAGCAGAAGACATCCATATTTTAACATTTTTCTAGTTAAGATCAACACATGTTGTGATAACTCCTTGATTGGTTTACTGTAACATACTCTCTGTGGGATTGCCTTTGGAGATAATGTGGAAACTGCAGCTGATAGAGAATGGGGCTCTGGTTCAAACTGCTGATTACCACCTGTAAAACCCTGTACAGTATAGTATCAGATTATATCAGAGCCTGATGACTCAGCAGTTAAAGACACTGAGCTTGTCAGCTGGAAAGCTGACAGCCCAGATTCGAGATCCAAGCACAGCATGATGGGGTGAGCTCCCATTACTTGGCCCAGCTCCTACCTCCCTAGCGGTTCAAAAACATGCAAATGCAAGTAGGTAAATAGATACCACTTTGGTGGGAAGGTAACAGTGTTCTGTGCACCTCAGTGTATAGTTACGTTAGCCACATGATCAAGGAAGTGGCTCCCTCAGCGGAGAAATGGAGATCAGCACCGCCTTCTTAGAGTCAGACATGATTGGACAGGGTAAACCTTTACCTTTATATCAGGCACCACTTTGCCAGGATTAATTCTGCCCATCCAACATCTGAAGCCAGCTAAGGCATAAAGTACAGTGTGAATGGATAGACAGCAGGCATGTTTGGCAGCTTCTGCACTTGACATCCTTTGGCAGCTTCCTTGTCTGAATTTTGCAAGGCTATTACAGCTCTACTGCTCCACAGTGTGAATTACATTATGGGAACCTAAGGCCATCTACTTATTGTATTGTTGATTATTTTCTTTATTGTGTTTTGTATGTGGCTGGCATGACTACTTTCCCATGCTATTCGCTATTCGCATTTGCATGCTTTTGAACTGCTAGGTTGGCAGGAGCTGGGGCAGGAACAGGAACTCACCCTGTGGTGTGGTACTTAGGTCTCGAATTGCCAAACTTCCAGTTGACAGCCCAACATCTTAACTGCTAGGTCACCGAGACCCTTATAATTATAAACAAACAAATTCCATCCACTTTTAATAAGTCCCTCCTCCCCTCATTTTTCCAACTTTAGCCAATTTAAAAACTAATATTAATTTGTTTTACTAAAAATAGTGGCAAAAGGGAAGTTGATAGGCATTAAAAGCCTTGATAAGTAGATTTTGCATACTGCAGCATAACAGACTATTGAAACTCAAAACAACGGCAATTTATCCCAAATTTAATGAACTTGATTATTGTTTTGTATTTCATTGGTATTTAATTCCATTTTACTTTTTATTGGCATCTAATTCAAATGTATTATTTCATTTGTAGTTTTAATATTACAATGAAATCCAACTGTGGATGCAAAGAAATAGTAGCAATCATTGTTAATGTAGCATCCTTTATTTACTTGAAGCTTTGCCAGCAAGTAATTGTGTTCTTGTTTAAAGAATGCTAGTGCACTTAAATTTAAGTTGAATTTATATTAAACTTGATATTACAGTAGATTATTGAGTTTAAGAAGTAGAGAATTTATTGAGTCCTGTGTAAATAAATAAATTCAAGGTGACATTAGAAAAGAAACCATAATACCGGTATTAAAATTAATAGAAATAAATGAAACACGAATGAAGGCAAATATATGTGTCCCGGTGACCGACCCAAATTTGATCTCGCATAAATGAAACAATTCATATGAAAATGTAGCAGCTTGTAAATGTTGAGAAAGTATGTAGTAGTTGGAATATTCATAGAACAGAAAATCTGGTGTTTTGACTAGACTCAATAGCCTTTTTCTTCTTCCATTCAGAGCTCACCCCATCTCCAGCAGTGGCTTCCCAGCAGCCTGCTTGCAGAAATGACCTCCAGTCTCAACATTACTTTTCCAGCTTTGTTCCAGTCACTTTCCAGCCAGCATCTCCATCAGAGGGCACGACTTCTTCTTCTTCTTCCTCAGCCAGCCATTCACTTTATCATAGGATGGAAGGAACTTTGAATGCCCGAAGTCGAAGTAACAGCACAGAGCGGTTGTTTGACTCGGCTGCTGTTGGCACAGAAGATTACCACGAAAGTGAAGGTTCACGCAACAGAACCAGAGCAGTTGAAAACCAATACTCTTTCTACTGACTTTGCTGATGGAGTGGTTTTCAGTGCATCCCTCTCATTTGGATCAGTAATTTTGGAGAAAAGAATTGAAAAGCTTCTTGAGGTCTTCATCTCCTTGTTGACTACTTCTGTATTGCATTTATGATTGCTTTTCTCCAGGCCTGTGAATATGTATACAATACCTTCTTGCATTCTTTCATAATAGAAAGTAAAGATAGTCCTTCCTATTCCCAAGGAGATATAGTGGTGGTTGTTTTCACACAGCTACAAAACTTCAGAGTGAAACACAATCTTTCTCTTTTACTTAACTTTTTTTGGTCCAGGAGCACAATCCAGAATTATGGAGAAAAATCTACATCTGCATGAAGTCAAGTTATTTGTTTATTTCTATCTAGGCTGCCTGATTTGGATGAAATCAGAAAATTAGAATCATGAAATCGTGATTTAAAGTGAATTGAAGCTGGACACTTGTAGCTAATTGTTGCTAAGACTTCATTTTGCCCATAATCAGCAATGTCAAGGTGTATACTTTGAGGCCAATGTTGGAATGACTAGCAAAAGTGATTTTCTTATATACATCCTGTAAATTGTTTGCTTTTTTCATTTTTTTAACTGCACACTCACTCCATATTTTACATTTTTACAAACAAAATGTTAAGTGTCCGGAGTGCAGTTAGTATGTAGACTGCATACATAGGAAGGTGCCTAACCTGCTCTAAGAACACAGGTCCATCTAGGTCAAGGGTATATGCAAAATAACACCTTTCCCAAAATCAGCACTACCTATTGCCTTCCAGTGTTGATGGACAACACTTATTTTGTATTACTGTGCTTCACAAGACATATCACAATTGTTTTTCCACCAAACTAATTCCAATAAATATTGATTGATAGAAAGAGGATCTGAAGTCTTCTATTTCTACAATTGGTGCAGATGTTATTTCTGGACAAATAACAGTCTATTAGAGGACCACACATCAAAGCCACATGTTGCTTACAGTTGTTTATAAGTTTCTATTTGCTGATAACCATCTAGCATTTTCGTTAAAAATGATTTACAAGAATGAATGTTCATTATAATCATACTGAAAATGGGCAGCTTCTCTTTTGTGGCATGTAACTTCCCTTTAGTAAATCCTCTCTGTAGCTTTTGAAAGCATTTAGTTCCATCTTAATTTGAATAACTTTCATTATTGTATTTTCCATGTGATTTGAAAAAAAAATGTAATGTTAGTAAGTGCATAATACTGCCTTTTAATTTTAGCGTGGCATTATCATTCGTTCCTCAATGACATGGCAATTGTTTCAATTAAAGAAGAATCCCTAAATATCTTTTGAACTGAAAAAAAATCTGAGTTTACATGAAAAACTTTGAAATATACTGCTCAAAATAATAATGGCACAGAGCTCTGAAATTCTATGAAGCCATAGGAAAAAAATCAATCTGATATTTTAGGTACCTTGGAAACATCCAACGTATTCCATCACTTAATCTAACAAAATGAAATTTGCTTGTAACAAAGAGATGGAAAAATGTAGCTATTTTCCAATAAATCTGTAGTTGGCTATTTTACAGAATTTTCCTGATTGATTTACATGAAAATGATTACACAGTTCTGTATTAAGATAATATTTCCATGTCAAAGTCACTAAGGTACTAGAAGAGAAAGCTGAAAAGCAAAATCTAATATGAAATAGTTATTTTATAAAATATATATAAACCAGAAAACTCTGCATCCACTTGAGTTGCAACATATAAATTGTGCAACCATTTGAATTGCAAAGGAATAGAAATTGGTGGAAGGGAATGAAATCACTGTGCTGCTCTAAGACTTGTGCTTAACACTGAAATTCTAATCAAATCATAGTACTCTAGTCGATTCAGAACACAACCAGTGCAACGTCTATTTTGATTAAGCACTATATTCAACTTTTTTTTTGGGACTGCAGACTAAGCCACTGTTAGTTCACAAATTAAGATTCAAGAGATACTGCCTAAGGCTTCCAGACCTAATTGCAAAGCTAGTAACTTTATGCCCTGAAAATGTATGTTGTGGGTTTTTGAATATTGGTTTTATACTGCACACTCCCTATGAGCTTCAGTTGTAAACAAGTTCCTGAGAATGGAATTAGCTATTTGGAGAACTGAGATTGATTGTTGGACCTGGCATGAAATCAGTGAGGGATGTTGGGAATTTTAATTCAATAACATCTGGAAGGCTACAGGTTCTGCAACTTTGGCCTAAAATAAACCAAATTTATTTGATTTTTGACACTACTGTATTTCTTAGTCTTTACCTTCATAGGAAAATTTGGAAAAATGATTTGCTAAGAGCAGTTAGAATGCCTAGATGGCTAAGTGTATGTCTCTTTAAAAAAACTGATAAAGTTTCTTGAATATCACAATACTGAAAAAATACTGTCATGATTTTTAGAGCAAAATCCATATTTTTCTCTCTATAAACATATAAAATACTCATACATGGAATATGATATAACACAAGGAAGTTTTTGAATGCAGACTTAATTTTTAGATTCTTTTTTAATTAAATAAATGTGTACTCAAAAGAATCAATGGTTACTTTCATAGTTACCATGACTTCATTATTCATGTCAGTTGTGTAATTATCATGACAAATGATGTTATTGAGGCTTGTTATCAATCACCTGTTCTCCATAAAGAAGAATCATTTGGTGGTACTAACCAGATAACAAAAACGTTAAGGATTTTATTTTTTTCTGTGCCAATTGAAACAATGGTGGGAAAGACCTCCAAAAACTGCAAACTGAATGTTAATTTGTAAATACGATTTTTTTAAAACTGTGAAAAAGTTTTAATGTGCAGTAGAATAAATTTTATTTATAAACTTGTAAAGGATCTGGAAAAATAATGGTTCGGCTTTTTTCCTTTTGGATTGGGAGTTGGAAATAAAGTCTTTAAACACATGCTTTAAAGATACAGTTAAAAATGTAAATGGACATTACAGGACATACAATAATCTTGGGAATTAATCCAGTAGTAGTAGATAGGAACAAGAGAGGCAATGGCAAGGATGCGTTCATTGAGTATTGAGATCTGAAGAATATGTTGAAAAATGGTTACTTGAAAAATAAAGTTTTACTATTTTGAAAAATTATTTGTAAAATTTAAATATTTTAAAACTCTTATAACAAAGTTTTATTACATTCTTTTGAATTGTGAAGTCAAGTTTAATAACACTTATTCTCACATAGCATATCTAATGGCAATGATGAAAGTGTGGTCCATAGTTAGGCATAAATAGGTGAGTCAGATCCAAAGCCTTATGTAGCACTATGCCAAGATTATTTGCCACTTGAAACAGGCCAAGATAATATCTGTGACTCACTAAACCATAAGGCTAATCTAATACAACACATTTTGCAAATTAAACCTATATAACAATAGGAAAGACTATTGTACATTGGGAATATTGAGTAAACCATTATTTAACTTTGGGTAGCAAATTTGTGGGAACAAAATCAGTATCTTAATCATTAGCATCTGATTCTTTAAACTGGATGCTGTCCTTCAGTGTACTTGAGGACATCATGCTCGCTTGCAAATAACCATGTATGGTGACTGTTTCCTGCCCCTTTGAACTGGATGCTGAAATAAAGCATTAGTGGCATCAATATGAATCAGAGTACAGCAGTGTAATAATTTATACAATGCTTTAAGAAGTATGTACTATGCTTGTTGCCTGTCTCCTTACACACTAGCAATTGTTCAATCTGTGATAAAAGGTACTTCCTAGCTCAAAAAGAGGATGTGGCTCTGGGCTTCAGCATCCATCACTCGAAGTAGCTGCCTAATGGTCAGGCAAGTCTCCAATAAATTGAAGAAAAATACATGAATTTTAAAAATAGACAGATAATAATATTAATGTGATGTTTGTGGGCAACCACCCCACCAAAGAGAAAATGTTAATGTTTTGCAAAAGCAAACTCTAGTTCCTTCAAAAAGATATAAGGTAGTAGTATTGGAAAATTTCATCTCAAAATCTGTTAGATAACTGCCAAGCATTTATTCCAGAATTTTTCTTGTGTTGCTTACCATATTCTCCTTTAAAAAACGGAAGTATAAGAACATCAGCTATTCTTGACTTAACAGTAACCAAAAGAGAAAAATTGATTAAAGGAATAGGAATGGAAATAATAGGAACACTGGGGAAAGATATCTAGTAGTGCTAGAATTCATGATTTTAAGAGAAACCAAAGCTGAGTGCAATTGAACATATATTCTGGACTTCAAGAAAGCAGGTTTTCATAATAACTCATATTTCAGGGCATACGGTAAGAATCTAAAAGGAAAAGCTCAGAATTAGGCTGGAATTTCTAAAAATAGGAAAAACCAATAGTATAATTGCAAACCAGTCCAATTAGAAGTGTTGGCATCTATTTTATCTCTGTCTTCTCTGAAAAGTGTTCCATGAGGTGATGAATAGCAAATGATTAGAGGACTGTAAGAATGGCCTACGTTGAACTACAGTCTATGCCAATATCTAGAGAAGTTCATAAATCAATTGGTTTGCAACCACTGAAACAAATGTGCTAATTGGATTTAAAGATAAATTGTGAAAAGCAAGTCTTGGCAAACTAATTGATTAGGTAATTTTTGTAGTAGATTGTGGAAATACTCTTGACATATCTTTAATAAAACGTTTAACAAAATGCTGCATTATAATGCAATTAGTGGTCTAGTAAATGAGTATATATTACATTTAAAGATCATACTCAGAATTTTCATGAATACTGTCTCATCAGACCATAATGTGATACCAGGTAGGGTCTGCCAGAGCTCACCCAGGGTTCTGTATTGTTCAGTATTGCCTATTAATGAATTATATATGCAGATGGAGTAAATGCTAATCAAATTTGTAGATGAGGAAAATAGGGGAAACCAGTGATATGAAAGAGAACAGCAATAACAATTTTGAACATAATTGAATATATTTTCAATTAGGACTCAGAAATCAAATTTTGCTCAAGTATAAATTGGGAACATTGATGGAGCAACATTATTTGTGAAAGACAGCTGGAGTAATAGTTAATTGCAAATCAAATATGAATCAACATATTGATATGGCTACAGCAACAAAAGAAACTTCATTAGATAAAGCAGTTAGGAGGCAGAAAAATGGACAGAGAAGTGAAAAAAAATGTCTTATTTTCTGGGGCTATTCTATACTATTCTAGCTAATAATATAAATTGGGAAAGTATATGCCTGGAGAATTCTATTAACCATGAAATTGCACAGTGCTAAGAGCAAGGTTGGTGAAGTAGCCAGATATATTATAATCCGAGACTATTTCACTGCATAAAAGTTTTGCTTTCAGAATTTTTGAAAGGCACTCATGTAAGCCTTTGATTATTTATTTATAGAAAAGCAGAAGTGTGCCTTTGAATTATAAACTCCGGTTCCTAGTTTTATTTACTTGACTCTGAAATATCATTAATGCAGAAATAATTAAATTAAGCCCTACAGCATCGTATAGAATTAACACCAAAAAATGATGTCCTTATCATCATGGGGGATTAGAATGCTAAGGTAGGAAGCCAAAAGATAACCGGAATAACAGGCAAGTTTGGCCTTGGAGTAAAAAATGAAGCAGGTCACAGGCTGATAGAATTTTGTCAAGAGAATACGATGATCATAACAAACACTCTTTTCCAACAACCCAAGAGACGGCTCTACACATGGACATCACCAGACATCATCAACATAGAAATCAGATTGACTATGTGCTCTGCAGCCAAAGATGGAGAAGCTCTATACAGTCAGTAAAAACAAGACCAGGAGCTGACTGTGGCTCAGATCATGAGCTTCTCGTTGCAAAATTTAGGCTTAAATTGAAAAAAGTAGGGAAAAGCACTAGGCCACTCAGGTATGAACTAAATCATATTCCTGATGAATATACAGTAGAGGTGACAAATAGATTTAAGGAATTAGATCTGATAGACAGAGTGCCTGAAGAACTATGGATGGAAGTTCGCAACATTGTACAAGAGGTAGCAACTAAAACCATCCCAAAGAAAAAGAAATGCAAGAAAGCAAAATGGCTGTCTGAGGAAGCTTTGCAAATAGCCGAGGAAAGAAGGGAAGCGAAAAGCAAAGGAGAAAGAGAAAGATACACCCAATTGAATGCAGAATTCCAGAGAATAGCTAGAAGAGATAAGAATGCCTTCTTAAATGAACAGTGCAAAGAAATAGAAGAAAACAACAGAATGGGAAGGACCAGAGATCTCTTCAAGAAAATTGGAGATATGAAGGGAACATTTTATGCAAAGATGGGCATGATAAAGGACCAAAATGGCAGGGACCTAACAGAGGCAGAAGAGATTAAGAAGAGATGGCAAAACTACACAGAAGAACTATACAAGAATGAGCTTAACGTCCCAGATAACACAATGAGATGGTCACTGACCTCGAACCAGACATCCCAGAATGTGAAGTGAAATGGGCCTTAGAAAATCTGAGCAACAACAAAGCTAGTGGAGGTGACAGTATTCCAGCTGAGCTATTCAAAATCTTAAAAGACGATGCAGTAAAAGTGCTACACTCAATTTGCCAGCAAATTTGGAAAACTCAACAGTGGCCACAGGATTGGAAAAGGTCAGTTTACATTCCAATTCCAAAGAAAGGCAATGCCAAAGAATGTTCAAACTATCGCACCATTGCACTCATTTCACATGCTAGTAAAGTTATGCTTAAAATCCTACAAGCTAGACTCCAGCAGTATGTGGATCGAGAACTACCAGAAGTACAGGCAGGATTTCGAAGAGGCAGAGGAACTAGAGATCAAATTGCCAACATACGCTGGATCATGGAGAAAGCTAGGGAGTTCCAGAAAAACATCTACTTCTGCTTCATTGACTATGCAAAAGCCTTTGATTGTGTGGATCACAACAAATTGTGGCAAGTTCTTAAAGAGATGGGAGTACCAGACCATCTCATTTGTCTCTTGAGAAACCTATATGCGGGTCAAGAAGCAACAGTGAGAACTGGACACGGAACCACTGATTGGTTCAAAATTGGAAAAGGAGTCCGGCAAGGCTGTATACTGTCGCCCTGCCTATTTAACTTATATGCAGAGCACATCATGAGAAAGGCAGGGCTAGATGAAACAAAAGTTGGAATTAAGATTGCTGGGAGAAATATCAACAACCTAAGATATGCAAATGATACCACTCTAATGGCAGAAAGTGAAGAGGAACTAAAGAGCCTCTTGATGCGGGTGAAGAAGGAGAGTGCAAAAGTTGGCTTGAAACTCAACATTAAGAAAACCAAAATCATGGCATCCGGCCCTCTCAATTCCTGGCAAATAGATGGGGAAGAAATGGAGGTAGTGACAGATTTTAGTGACAGATTTTATTTTTCTGGGCTCCAAGATCACCTCAGATGGGGACTGCAGCCAAGAAATTAAAAGACGCTTGCTCCTGGGGAGGAAAGCTATGGCAAATCTAGACAGCATACTAAAAAACAGAGACATCACCCTGCCAACAAAAGTGTGTATAGTCCAGGCCACGGTTTTCCCAGTTGCAATGTATGGCTGTGAAAGTTGTACCATAAGAAAGGCTGAGCGCCAAAGAATTGAGGCCTTTGAACTATGGTGCTGGAGAAGACTCCTGTGAGTCCCTTGGACTGCAAGGCGTTCAAACCGGTCAGTCCTAGAAGAGATCAACCCCAACTGCTCTTTAGAAGGCCAGATCCTGAAGTTGAAACTCAAATACTTTGGCCATCTAATGAGAAGGAAGGATTCAATGGAGAAGGGCCTAATGCTGGGAAAGATTGAGGGGAATAGAAGAAGGGGACGACAGAGAATGAGATGGCTGGATGGAGTCACTGAAGCAGTGGGTGTGAACTTAAATGGTCTCCAGAAGATGGTAGAGGACAGGAAGACCTGGAGGAATGTTGTCCATGGGGTCGCGATGGGTCGGACACGACTTCGCAATTAACAACAACAACATTAAAAAGCAAACAGGTGAAAATATCTAAATTTATTCTGTATTAAATTATTTACGTATTTAAATATTCTAAATATAGAATATTTAAAATTCACTATTCACAAAAACAAAAATATCTTGTTTGTCTTCTGAAAAAATTGATACATAGGCATAAAAACTACACAATTCCCTAAACTGTGAATATATTCTCTTACAAAAATGTACAACTTATAAAACTAAGCCAATCATTGCTTAATTCAGAATAATAGTAATTATAGTACTAGGAAGGTAAAAAACATTGTACAATTATCAGTGCACTATGAACACATTCACAAGAACCCTTATTAAACTTTGTAGATTTGTTACAGAATTTTGATCAAATTTTCTCTGAAATTATTAGAAATATTTAGGAAGGCAGCTATTGTCAGCATAACTTGCGCACATTCTACCTTCTTCTCCAGATGTTTTTATAAGCAATAAAATAACTTATAAAACTGGGAAAAATTATCTCATTAACTAAATTAAGAGAAAGTTTCTATATTGTCAGCACTGAAACTGACATGAGACTTAACTTACTCTATTTAGCCTATCTTTTATTATCTGTTATAGGAGGAGATGTCTATGACAACAAAAAGTCACAAGGGGTCTGGTAGTTCTTTTTATAATTCACAAATTGGCTTATGTTTTTAAATAAAATTTTGTTAATCAGAAAAGTTGCTAACAAGACTCCTGATTTTTCTCTCACTTTCCTTATTTATCGCAAAGGGGTCATTTGCATTAAGAAATGGATTGCCTTACACATGTTTTTTCTTCAGATCTAAATGGTCACAAAATAAAGGGAAAGTTTTTAGAACATATATTCAATCAAATTAAAATAATTAACTGCTGACTATTGTAGAACTGCACTAGTGCCATCTCGTGGGGGCAAATGGGATTGTAAAATATGTACTTTCAGTCCTTAATGCTTGTAATAAAAAGACGTGTCTGTCCCCTTTCACAATACAGTAGAATCACTCCTGTTTTTAGCAAGAAAGCAAACATCAAGACAGCAGGCAAGCTTGGCAACTTTAAGATGAATGAACTTCAACTTCCAGAATTCCTCAGTCATGCAAGCCACACAAGTAAAACAAGAACTAGTTTTATGTATAATGAGTGTTACAAAGAATTGCAGTAGAATCTGTTCTTCTTTCTTCCTACTGTAAATCTAGTGTGGTTTTCAGAACTTCAGTTTGTACAGTTTGGCAAGGGATCGTAAGACAAAATCAAAATGGAGCAAAGACATCTACCTTGGCATCTACCTCAGCCAACGTTTTACCAGGCAAAGGCATACCAGGACCAGATTAAACTCTGTGTAAGTTCTAGACATTTCTATTTTGTATGCCGTCCCTTCAAGATGAGCCAGGTCAGGAAACAGACATCAGAAATAGACTTTACAGGGCATAATAACAAAATCTAAAAGTCTGACAAAAGTTTTCTCTCCTCTTATACAAAAGAGAAGCAAAGTGGGGCAGCCTCATCTTTTTCATTCATTCTCTCCTTCAGGGCTAAACTGATGTTAATGTGACAACTCTTGGATTGTGCAAATTGTATGATACACTGTTGCTCTACTTTACAGGTATCAAACTTGCAGAGTGATGTGTCATGATGTATCGTGACTTTTTTCCCATTGCTGGCAATGGGGTGGGCGCAGTTTTGGTGTGATGTATCTGGCCCGTGGGCTGGCAGTTTGACACTGACAAATGATGTGACAGATTTGAGGATTTGGCTATAATGTGCAGACAGTTGCACAAAATAGGAAATGATTTATTGATAGAACTGGCCTTGATTTCAGCATAGAAAATTTAAGTGACAGATTTCAATGATTGTTTCCCATCATGGATCAATTTATTCTAGAGATGCATATGCGACAATAATCAATTTAGTTTCCTTGTAGATAAACAGGTATTTATTAATTAAATTCCTATTATTTCCATATTTGTAAACAAAATAAACAGGGACAGATAGGCTCACACCCAAATATCTGACAAATTGAATCAAAGCAGAGGCACAGGCACTCATTCGAGAGATTTAAACTTTAAATCCTAAATCTTTTCCTTCTGTTTTTCTAAGTCAACGGCTATTCTGCTGCCCTTGTGGTAGGCAGCTACATATGTTAACATAATGATTCTCTTATATCTGAAAACTACAGGATCCTGTCTTACCAGTTTCAAAGCTCCTATCAAGTGAACAAATTCAGTTAAGTACACGAATAAAATATACATTAGACGCGTGATAAATATAACTTAATTCTATGTGGACAAGTGTTTTTATTGGACAGGGAAATGTTGGATTATCCCAACATGCAATTATTAGCGTTCTCGTTGTCATACCTATAAATAAGATGAGACGCTCACAATAAACAGAATTACGAGAAATCAGAGAGCCGTGAGGAATCCTGGGAAACCCCTTCGGACGGGACCGCTTTCCATTCGCCCCAGGAGAGACACGGCCTCCTCAGGTTTCCCGCCCTCATTAATATTAAAGACACCTCATATTAAAGAAAGAGTAGTAGGGGGAAGAGGAGGGAACATTACTATCCCCGCCCTCTTCCGCCTCCACACACCGAGCTTCTGGGACCGTCGCCCTCCGTGACGTCATCGGTCGGGGCCGCGGCCTTTTGTACAAGGGGAGGGAAACTTTGGAATAGGATGGCGGCGGGGCCGACGCGGCCCCCTCGGCCCCGGAAGGAGCCGCAGCCGCTGGTCATTCCCCGGAGTGCAGCAGACGAGCAGCGCCTCAAGCTAGAGAGACTAATGAGGAATCCGGTGAGGGGGCGGGGTATGTGTTGGTGGGCGTGGCTATCTGCCCCTTGGCTCTCCCCAGTTTGAGAAATGAGACCCAGCTGCTCTAATCCCGCAGCTGAGGGCACTGGGTTCCTTGTTATATTAATCGAACTGCATTTGCTGAAGAGCGAGATTTCCCTCCCACGTTATCCTGATCGGTCCCGGTTTTTTTCTCAAGTTTCTGACTTAGTATCCTCTCCTTCAGATACTTCTGTTAGGTCCCTGCGTAGGACAGTTAAATGCTTTCCTTTCCTCAGCATCACTAAATTCTGCCCATTTCGCGGCTGGTTGGTGGAACATAGGATTGGATCTATCAAGACAGTCTGATGTTTATGCACTCAGTATTATGTTTTGGATCCACAAATGTGTAGTTAAGTATGGAATATCTACATGGGTTAAAATTAGTTGTGATTTCTCTCCACTGTTAGGATCTTTATGCATTTTAATAGCTCTAAATAATTAGTCCCTTCGGAAGCATCAGAGTGTCGCTTATTTTTCACTGCAGGATAAGACGGTTCCAATTCCTGAAAAGCTGAATGAATGGGCACCCCGCCCACCTCCAGAATTTGTCAGAGATGTTATGGGTAAGTTGTGGGTTTTTTAAGTAGTTTTTTGGTTTTTGTTCATTACTTTGAGAGAAAAGGGAAAAACAGACTGGAGTTTTGAAGAGCAAAATTGATGGTGTCAAGGAAAAGTTTGAAACTTGTTTCAGAGGCAGTTTTTGGCCCCATTTTGCACTTTGTTATTAGCCTTAACAAACTCACTAAATTTCTCTGATCCATGGATGTTATTGTAGTGAGACACTTACAACTCTGCATCTCCTGATTCTTAAATAATGTTTCAATTTTATAACTGTAAATGGAGAGATTTTGAAGAATTACTTATACCTCTGTGTGTTGTGAGAAATTACAGAGAGAATCTGAGATTTTGGTGGCCAGGGATGTGAATTTATAGCATGGTTTTAACAAGGAGCTGCTTTCTCAAAATCTTGCTTTTTATTTAAAAGCAAAGGTAAAGTAATTTTTATGGCATAGATCAGGCATGTCAAACTCGCGATGTCACCTGACGTTGCGCAATGTATTAAGACTTTTTCCCCATTGCTGGCAATGGGATGGGTGCGATTTCTGTGTGACGCATCCGGCCTGTGGGGTGGCAGTTTGACATGCCTGGCATAGATGATGAGAAATGCCTGCACAGCCAAAGATATTTGCTGAATAAGGTGACTGGGGATTTCTGACTGGAGCTTTGCTTTGCATGATTTACTTCAATTACGCTTCGCGTAATTGATCTTCATACCTAACAAATTTAGGATAAGTTATCAAAATAATTTATAAAATGTGTGAGTTTGCATTATTTAATGCACAGTCCCTTACGTGACAAAACTTAAAACTTTTTCTATTGGTCCTAGGAAATATTAACAGTTGTTATCAAGGTAAAGAGTATTATTATAACAAACTAAGGAACATAATTGATTGCATTTGCCCTTTCTCGCTAGAAGAGGGATAGGAAGGGTAGAGCAGAGAAGGGAGGGAACAGTTTTTCTAAATGTCCACAGAAGTTCATACTGAGCTGGTATTAGCAAAATGAAAAATCACTCTTATATTTGCATTTGTATTTAATTTTTGATAAAGTAGCATTTGCTTCATAGAAGCTTTCCTGTGTAAAGGTCATAAGATTCACATGACTGTTTTATTCAGTCTCTAATTTCAAATTCATGAAATGTAATGAATTTATTTTTTAAAGTTGCCATGGGGATTACTGTAGGTGGCACTGAACATGGGAACATTTACCATTGGGTAGTGGGACCTAGCAAGTAGAGTGATCATACAAGTGATCCTAGGCAAGATTTTATTTTTTTTTCCTCCTGAATTTTGAGCTCTTTCATAGTTTTGATTATACTTGGTCTGTTATATTGGGGTTATATTGAAATTTTCATGTATTTCCTGTGTCAAAATGATGTTAAACCACATCACTGATTCTTGGCAGTTAGATTTGGGGTAAGCTAAGTGGATTGAAATAAAATCTTCACTTGCTGTTTCTTCTAAATGGTAACAACTTTGCAAACATTTAAAGATAGACTTTACCCAACTCAGCTATTTGAGGCCCTTAAACAGTTGGAGATTGAAATGGAATATTTGCCTCAGCCCGGTATATTTTTGCCTTTCCTTCTTTGACAGGTTCCAGTGCTGGGGCTGGAAGTGGGGAATTTCATGTCTATCGACATCTTCGGCGGCGGGAATATCAGAGGCAAGATTTTATGGATGCCATGGCTGAGAAGGTAAAGTATTTTCCCTCAAAAGCTTTGATATTGATTACCTCGAGAAACCTTGCTGTTCTGTAAAACTACAAAGAGATCTCCCTTTCTCTCTTTGATCTTCTCCAAGAACAAGGTATTAAATACTCAGGCAGGTACTTGTACCTTTTCTTTCTCCTTCATTTTCCTTTGTTTACTCTTTTCTTCCCATCATATTAACTGATATTTTTCCTTTTCATGTATTAAACTTATATTTATAAGCTAATTATTTCCTGGGTACTCATCTTCTGAGTGTGCAGAAAAATACAGTTCCTTATTTTCTGGATGACCATGTTGTTATATAACACGTGTGGCCTTCTATTCACAATGCATCCAGTTATGTGTCTGGGAAGTCCAGAACCAAGACATGAATCAATAACATCCTCCCGTTCTTGGCTGTGTTGCAGTAGCTGACAGACCACCTGTCTTCAGCGCAAGAGACAGAAAAAAATGAGAAAAAGAATGAGTTAGTAGTTTGTCTGAATAATATATTTTTACAATTTTAGATTTAATTTATTGCATTTATTTCTTTTGTTTTTAGCAAAAATTAGATGACGAATATCAGAAGAAGCTTGAAAAGAACAAGATGGTTGCAGAAGAACAGACAGCCAAACGTAGAAAAAAGCGGTAAGATCAAGCTGTTCTTGGTGGCTGATACAGAAACTGTAAAGGGCTTCTATATGAGCCATAGCAGAACTATTTTTTAATCCAGTTTAATTTTCCCCTTTAATTTAATAAATTTAATAACTAAATTTGATCTCATATGCTCTCATTAGTTTCTGCATTGCCCTAATTTGAAGGAGATGCCTTATTTCATGCTTGTCTTTTCTTTATTTTTGACCAGGGGTATGAGTTTCTTAAGTTCCAAATAAAATGTTGCTCATCTCCTTCATTTAAAATTAGTAACGAAAATGAAGATGTTAGAAAAAACAAAACAATGTGAGATCAAATATTTTTTTGAAAAATACTGTTTTTAAAATTGTGAAAAGGTAAAATACTATATTTGGGTATTACTATGATTAATATGAATTGTATGTTATTTCAAAACAATTATGTTAAAACAAAGTGAAATTAAGGATATGCTAAGATGAGAGAAATTACTGTTATTGTTGTGGAGAATTTCTGTGATAAAATGAGTATGGTTTAGAATCATATATTTGTTTTAAACAATACCTATAGTGGACAACTGATATGCCATTTAAGCAATGGCAGAAGTATACACTTAGTTTGTATGGCAAGGGAAAAGGCAAGATTAAATAGAAAGTGCTCTAAAATGTCAAAGGAACAAGGAGGATTGGACTGATTTGAAACTGTATTTTTGCAACTTTCTGTCCTCCTAGTTGGATGAAGGAGTGGATGCTGCTGAGAAAAAGGAGATAAAGAGAAAGAGAAAGGCATGGCTGAAGGTTTTGATGGCATGGATTTCTATGATACAGTAAGTCAGTGTAGCTTTTAAATAGAGGTGCCTTGTTGAGATATCAATTTGGATATAATCTAATTGTGCCCAAAAATGCCTTCATTAGTCTCAGTCTCAAGAGCATTTTATAGAAAACAGCTGGCAAAGTGAGATAGTTAACCTATTGAGAGTTGTTACAGAATAAGGTGAAAATAGATGAAATCGAGATCATTGGGACTACAGAGTTATTTATTTTCAAAGGTTTTATAAGCATTTGAAAGAGAAAAATTTAAGGTAGATAAGACGTTTTGGAATTGAACAGCACAAGACAGATTTGAATTTGAACTAGGTACGGATGATGATCATGTAATTGAAATGGAAGAATGAAAGTGTATGATGAAATGAGCTAAGAACTTGATATAATATACACAATGGGGAAAATATGTGGCTGAAAGGACGAAATTTACATTATGCTATCATTTAAAAGAGTGATACAAATTCTGTGATGCAATTTATGTATTTATCTGTAGGTGGCCACAGGGCTTTGCAAGCTGCTGGAAACAGTTCCCTAACTGTAGCTTTCCCATCGCATGATGTAAAGAATAAGATGATATAAGATAACCAATTGTGTTGATTTTTGTGGTGGAGAAGGCTTTTCTAATTACTAGAGTAAAGAGATGGAAGAGAAACATTTAGAGCTATTTGCATCTACTTCTATTATATATGAATTTGTTTTGAAATATAAAAGGTCATATGGAAACAATGAAGGAATGATTGTCATTATTGGGTGCAAGTGGCAAGAAGGTGACAATGCAACAGGAGAAAGCAGAACTATTTAACTTGCTTTTCGGCATCTGTCTTTACACAAAGGGAAAAAACAGACCAGCCTATTGAAAATAGTGCCATAAAAAACAAATAGAATACGTTTAAGATAGCAAGAAATGGAAGTAAGCACATGTCCCACCTAGACAGTTTTCAAATCCCAGGACCAGATGGATTACACCCCAAGGTTCTCAAGGAACTGGCAGATGTGATCTCAGAACCACTGAACTATATTTTTCACTAAATCCTGGAGCACTGGGAACTACCGAGGACTGAAAAGTAGCTGATGTAGTTTTCCCATCTTCCAAAAAGAGGAAAAAAGAGTACCCAGGAAATTACCACCTATCAGCCTGACCTCAATACCTGGGAAAGATTCTGGAAAAGATAATCAACAATGAATCAGCGAACACCTACAGGCAAACAAAGTCATTACTAAAAGCCAACACAAGTTTGTCAAAAACAGATCATGCCGAGACAAATCTTATTGCATTCTTTGCCCAAGTGACAAATTAGTGGACCAGACCAATGCTGTGTATATAAATTTTTACTTGGACTTCAGTAAAGCAGTTTGACAAAGTAGATCACAACTACTACTTGATAAGATAGAAAAATGTCGAGTTAGACAGCCTCACCACCAAATGGATCTGTTACTGGCTGACCGTAGCCGTACTCAGTCGTGTGGTCCTCAATGGGATCATCTACATGGAGGGAAGTGTGTATTGGGGTGCCCCATGGCTCTGTTCGGGGCCCAGTGCTCTTTAACATCTTCATCAACAATCTGGATGAGGAGATAGATGTGGGAACTCATATCAAATTTGCAGATGACACCAACTGGCAGGAATATCCAATACTCCAGAAGACAGGCTTAGGATACAGTAGGATCTGGACAGACTTGAACACTGGGCGCTATCTAACAAAATGAAATTCATGGTGAAAAAAGTAAAGGTTCTACATTTAGGCAAGGAAAACACAATGCACAGTATAGTATAGGGGGTAACCTTGCTCATAGTATAACTGTGAGAGGGATCTCGGTAGTCCTAGTGGACAATCATTAAATATGAGCCAGCAGTGTGTTGCAGCTGCCAAAAAAAGCCATACAGTGCTAGCTGCATTAACAGAGGATAGAATCAAGATCACGTGAAGTATTAATACTACATTAGCCATGCCTTGGTAAGGCCACACTTGGAATACTGCTTCCAGTTTTTGGTCACCGCGATGTAAACCAAAAATGTTGAGACTCGTAGAAAGAGTACAGAGAAGATCAACAAAGATGATTAGGGGATGAGGCTAAACCATATAAGGAACATTATGCTGGAATTGGGTCTGTTTAGTTTAACGCGAAGAGAAGGACAGGGGGAACTTGATAGCAGTGTTCCAATATCTCAGGGCTGCCACAAAGAAAGGGAGTCAATCTATTCTGCACAAAGCACCTGAAGGCAGGACAAAAAGCGACTGGGTGGAAACTAATGAAGAGAGAAGTAACTAGAACTAGGAGAAACTTCCTGACAGTTATAACAATTAACCAATGGAACAACCAGCCTCCAAGGGGGGAAGCTCCACACTGAAGTTTTTAAAAGAAACTGGCCAGCCATTTGTCCGAAACGGTATAAGGGGTTTCCTTGCCTGAGCAAGGGTTTGGACTTGATGACCTCCAAAGTCCCTTCCAACTTTATTATTATTATTATTATCGATACATGCGCACAGTCATGCCAGATGTTCAGAACTGGATGTGGCATTTTGCACCTATCGAGTCCATTCAGACCCGGACCTGGGATAGCGATGTGGATTTTTGATGGTATTTATTATTATCGATCATCGCACATCAGCCAGATTTTCGAACTGGATTTGGCATTTTGTCTACCTCTCGAGTCACTTACCCAAGGTATTATTATTATTATTTATTATTATTATTATTTTATTATTGATCATCGCACAGTCAGCCAGATGTTCAACTGGATTTTGGCATTTTGTCTACCTATCGAGTCCTTACCCAGGACCTGGGATAGGCAGATGTGATGTTTTGATGGTATTACAGGTATCGTCGCAGGATGGAAGCAGTTCCTAATAAGGCCGCCTTTTGCAATTGACTAATAGCAAATTTGTCAATGCCAATGGTGTTCAAGTGGTGCTCCAGTTGTTTTGGGATTGCACCCAAGGAGCCTATGACTATTGGTACTACCCTTGCTTGCTTTTGCCACAGTCTTTCTATTTCTATTTGTAGGTCTTTGTATTTTGTTATCTTCTCCAGTTCTTTCTCTTCTATTCTGCTATCTCCAGGCACTGCCACGTCCACTATCCAGACTTTTTTGTCTTTCTTATCGACAATTGTTAAGTCTGGGGTGTTATGTTGCAGGTGCTTGTCTGTTTGAATTCTGAAGTCCCAGAGCAGTTTAATTTTATCATTTTCTATGACTTTCTCTATTTTATGATCCCACCAGTTTTTGCTTACAGGCAAATGATATTTTTTGCAGATCTTCCAATGCACCATTGTTGCTACTTTGTCATGCCTGCTTGTAATCAGTCTGTGCAATCTTCTTGCAACAGCTTACCAAGGTCCACTGTTTCTTCAGCTTCTTTGCATAGGCGGCACTTACTGTCTGTTGCTGTCTTCTCAATTTTGACTTTGTATGCATTTGTCCTTAAGGCTTGGTCTTGTGCAGCCAGAATTAGTCCCTCGTCTTTCTTCAATTTTCCTGCTCTTAGCCATTGCCAGGTTTTATTATTATCTGCTTTCCCAGCTATTTTTTTCATGTATTGGCCATGTAGTGCTTTGTCTTCCCATGCCTCTATTCTGTTCTTCATTGGTCTTTCTTGTAGGCCAGTTTGGTCTCTCCAGTAGTTAGTAAGCCTTCCTGATATACTAATTTCAGTGCATCTTCATCATTGTTCTTCAGATATTCTTCCAAAGCCATTTTTTCTTCTTCAACCATCTGATGTACTTGTAGCATTCCACGCCCACCTATTTGCCTTGGTAGATAAAGTCTATCAATGTCACTGCGTGGATGAAGGGCGTGATTCATTGTCATTATTTTTCTGGTCTGCCTATCCATTGCTTTTAGTTCTGCTTGAGTCCAGTCCACTATTCCAGCTGTGTACCTAATGACTGGGATTGCCCAGGTGTTGATTGCCTTTATGGTATTTCCTCCATTGAGTTTGGATTTTAAGATCTTCTTCACTCTCTTGATGTATTCACCTCTAATCTTTTTCTTGACTTCAGTGTGCTTGATGTTGTCAGCTTGAAGGATACCCAAGTATTTGTAGTACTCTTCCTCATCCAGACTCTTAATGTTATTTTCGTGGGGCATCTTGATTCCTTCAGTTTTCACTATTTTTCCTTGTTTGATAGTAAGTGTGGCACATTTGTCCAAGCCAAACTCCATTACAATATCTTGGCTATATATACGGACAGTGTTGAGCAGCGATTCTATTTCAGATGATGTTTTTCCATACAGCTTCAGATCATCCAGTAAAGGAGGTGGGATAGTCTAGCAGATGTTTTTGATGATGTTTGATAACCATGGTCCTGATTTATTCAGTATTGTTAACAGAGGAAACAGTGCAATAACAAATAGTAGTGGTGATAATGAATCTCCTTGAAATATTCTTCTCTTGATATTAACCTCTCCCAGTCTCCCACCATTGATCTGCAATTGTGTCTTCCATTGTGCCATCGATCTTTGCACAAATTTTCTGATGTTTCTACTGACTCCTGTTATTTCTAGGCACTTGATTATCCAATCATGTGGCAGAGAGTCAAATGCCTTTTTGTAGTCAATCCATGCCACATTCAGGTTGTTCTTCCTTCTCTTGCAGTTTTCCAAGATCATTTTGTCTATTAGGAGTTGATCTTTTGTTCCTCTGCTATTGGGGCGGTTTCCTTTCTGCTCAGGTGGAAAGAGATTGTTTTCAACTAGATGCTGTTGTACTGCAGCAGCTACCACACCAGTTAGTAATTTGAAAGTTGTTGGTAAGCAGGTAATTGGCCTGTAGTTACCTGGTGTTGCCCCTTTTGCTGGATTTTTCATTATTAGGTAGGTTTTCCCAGTTGTTAGCCACTTTTCAATTTCTCCTCCTTGTAGTATATTGTTGAATTGCTTGGCACTGAGTGGGTGTATAACAGTTAGATGTTTCAACCAAAACCCATGCAGTTCATCTTCACCTGGTGCTGACCAATTTTTGATTTTCTTTGCTCTTTTTTCTACATTTTTGTTGTTATTACTAGTTCTTTCATTTCAACTTCTGTTTTATTTGCATCCACCTCTTTTAACCAAGCCGCATCCTTGTTGTATTTCTTTGGGTTATCCCCTATCTGCTTCCAGAACTGCACTGTTTCTTCCTTGTCAGGTACTGACTGATTCCTTGCAGTTTCTCCATTGATGGATTGGTAGAAACGTTTCTGATTGGATTGAAATTGGAGGTTCTGCCTATAGTTTGCAATTCGAGCTTCATATCTACTGATTTTCCTGGCTATAGCTGTTATTTGTTGCTTTATTATTTCCAGTGCTTCCTTGATCTTCCGTGTTTCTAAATGGTATTTCTTGATTAGGTATTCTTTGGTCTTCTTGTTCTTCAGCTTCTTTTCTTTCATCTGTTCTAGCTTGCTTGCATGTGATCTTAACTTGCTGATCTTATTTTCTAGTCTAACCTTTCCATTTTTGTGGTGCACTGTTTGTTTGTTTTTCTTCTTTGTTGATTTTACATCCCAGGTATTCTGTTATAACTGCAGCTGTGCTGTACATTATTGGTTTGTTTCTTGCAGTGAATTGGTGCTTATACTTGCTATTGCAGTATTTGCATCTTTTAATGCTTGTGCTAGCTGTTTCTTTGAAACAAGCTTCAATGCAGGCAGCCTTATTCTGTTGTTTTTGTGCTGTTCTAGATGCTCAGTTATTCTTTGTTTCAATTCTTTTATTTCTTTAGTTAGAGGGTTTTGTTCTTCCTGAGGAAGAGGTGCCTGGTTTCCAAATGAGAACAGTTGTATATCTCTGCTGGATTCCTTCACTGCCAACTCCCCCTGGTTTGCCTCTACATTCTGAATTACTTCTGGTAAGGCTTTGATTTCTTTGCCCTGGGTAAACCTTTGCAGTTCGTCCAATTCTGTTTCTGTGAATACTTTATTTCGTGTTATAAATCGGCGTTGATCTGCTAGTCTCTGTTCTGTTATTTCTGATTCTGGATGTTGTTCTTTCCAGAATTGGTGCATTCGTTTTAGATATCCTCGCCTTGTTGGACTTGATCTGTAGTAACAGATCATTATTTCTTTGTTTTCCATCACTGTGTATCTGCGACGGGTAAACACCTTTTCTTCCAGTAGTTCTGCAGCTGCTGGCCCTGGTTGCTCAGCCAACAGTCCTGAGTCCTGTAACCCATTTTTCACCAGATATCCAGGAACTCCAATATCTAGTGCGGACCTTGTTAACCCGGGCGACGTCCGAGCCGGTATGGCATTCTGAAATTTACGTCTCACCATATTTTTTATGGGAGAGACACTCTTTGTCTGACTCCTCTGATGAGACCTGTCCAGTATGGTTGAACCTCTGGCATAGCTCTCATCTTCCTCAGAGTAAACAAGCCCCACAACCACGTCAAGGTAGTGCCTCACTGGGGGATTATTATTATTATTATTATTATTATTATCATCATCATCATCATCATCATATTTAAACCTTACATCTTTACTAAGATTGGAGTTAAAAACTGCAAAGTTTGAAAAGAGGAATTGTTCATTTAATCAGTATTAATATCTCTTTTGCTTTCTTTGCAGCCAGAAATTGAAAGAAAAGAAATTGCTGGCAAAGAAAAATAAACTTGAACAAAAGAATGAACATGCAGGTAAGTCAAAAAATTGTAATCTTGAGGTCAGCCTAGAAGAAAATATATTTTCTCAATCCCAGAAATCCCATTTCTGTCCAATTCAACAAAAGTGTGTGTCTGCAGGAACAACATGTGCCATATACATTAATGTGGGTGTCTTTCAAAGTGGCCTTCCGCAGCCAGGTTCCCTGTTCAGATAGTCCTCAGCTTATGATTGTAATGGAGCTTGCCCAATACAGTTGCAAGTGGTGACAATTGTTAAGCAAGATTGCCTCGCTTAATACTCCATGCACTTCTCTCCCTGATGTGGTTATTAAATGGAGCAGGGGTGAACGAGGCTGGGAGGCATAGCATAGGTCCAGGCCTGCATGCCCCAGGGCTCCCAAGGCCTCCTGCACTTCCTGACACACCCCATGATCCAATTCTCCCACAGCCCATGAGCCTGCTCCCCGTCCCTCACTGGGTCCCTGCAGGCCTTGGGCCTGCTTCCTACTCCACTGGGTCCCAAATCATCCTCCTCGCTTGCCTTTTGTAGATCTGAGCTCAGGAGATTGGGTTAAGGAAAGGAGGACAGGCCTTTATGTTGTTGAGCCACATGGCGTGATCCTGGAAGCAGCTGCCATTTTCCAAGAGACTGCACTGAATTGTAGCTCTTCATAAAATGGGGCCACTTCTGGAATTGAACCCATAGCCCAGCCAGAAAACCGCTTGCTTTGCTTTGGTAATGTGAGCTCTTGGCATTCCATAATGTCAGAAAGCAGCAGAGCTCATGCTAGTGAAGCAAAGAAAGACATTCTCTTGCTGGGCTGCGTGGTACACCTCTGGAAACAGCCTCTGTTTTCCAAATGGCCACAATTCAATGCAGCCTCTCAGAAAATGGTAGCTGCTTCCATTTCTCTCAACAAAGGAAAGAAGGCAAATTGATCATGGAAATATAGTTCCATTAGCGTTGTAAGAAGTGCAGTTCATGTTTGTATTTTAGTAGGTAGGCTTGAAACAGTGGAAGGAAAAGATTTTTCCATAATATGAAAAGTAGGCTGTTCATTCACACAAGAAGAGCATGCCTTACATGATGTCGTATAGTGGTAGAGCTTGGGTGTAACGAAGCTAAGAAAAAGACTCAGGCATGTCTTGGGCAGAGGTTTGAAGCTGCATGACACATCTTCACACAGCTTGACAAACTCTGAGTTTATTGTTTCTTATATACTTTTTACATACATAGGCTTTACCATTAACTGCTGACATTTTACATTTAGAAGTTTAATCTTTAGCTGTTGACATAAAGTAATTGAAAAATTCCTTCATATAAGCAATTATTTTCTAGTAACACATTACCTGTTGAGAGCAGGTAAAAACAAATACAGGTAAATTAGAAAAGGAGAAAGAACTGATAAAGACAAGAAGAGATAAAGACAGGAAGAGATAAGGGGGAACTTATTATTTAGGTAGGTAAGATATTAAGTCAAAAGGGGGTGATGTTTTGGCTGCTTCCTTGGGACAAAGTGTATCAAAAGGTTATGAGGTTTGTGGGGGGCAATGCATGGCAGTTTGCTGCACGTGCAAATTCCTCCACATCTCACCTTTTTCTATTTTATTAATGAAGACATCTTAAGCAGGAGTAGTTAGTGGGTCTTAGCTTAGTATGGAAGATTGCAAGACATCTTATTAAGTAAAGAAAAAAGACATTGAAATAAACAACAACAGATGATAAGGATAGCAACTATTATAATGAGATATTGAACAATCTTTCCAAGAAGGCCAATGGGAAGCCATGACCATAGAGCACTCCACCAATTTCCTAAGGTATCAATTTTTAAATCAGAAGCCAAATTATGTAAAACATTAATTTGCTTTTGAATAATGCCAGATTGATCAGAAACATTGAAATAACAAATAAACTGAAGCTGGGACATACACAGGTATAAGACAGTTAGAGAGTAGATTTTCCATGTCATATGATTCAGAAATACAAAAGTCTGTCACTTGTGTTACAATTAGCTAATTGCACCCAGATATTATATTTCATCCGTGATTCTAAAGGATGAGATGGAAGAGCTTGAGCCCCCACACAGCAATTAAGAAGGAAAGAGAGGCAAAGAATGACTAAGGAATTTGCAGTCAAAACCACAAATAAGGCAGCACATAAATTCTCTGGTGTAAGTTCTTTTCCTTGTTGCCTCAGAATGTCCTGCGCTTTGGATGTTAGGTTCTTCACATTGCCCCAGGTCGTTGGCCGACTGTGATGGTGAGAACGAAAGGGACGTTGTGCTGTCTGAAGAGTCACCTGCTTCATTTCCAGTATTGGGTTCTGGACTTGATGTCATGACATCTTTGGCTGGTTGCACACACCGGGCTGGAATCCAGAGAGGGCCTGTAGGAGCAAGCACAGAGCATAGCCTTGCCCCCAAGTTAGTAAGGGAATTGGACCTAGGCAGGTTGCTGATAATATACCAATGGATTTGGTATATACCTAATTGCTGATAATATACCAATGGATTAGGAAGCACAGCTTTCTGCTGAAAGTGACGCTGGTAGGCAGTAGTGTTTTGAAAAGAAATATTTAGCTGGTTTAAAGTTATTAAGACTTTATTGACCTGATGCAAATTGCAAATTAGGTACCCTTGATCCCTCCTTTTTTAATTGTTTATGAAGGCAGTCCTTAAAGGACCGATACATATGTGAGAAATAAAGGATAGCTGCTGTAAAGTTAAAAACAAAGCCATAAGATTGGAGTTGATCCTGGGCATGATGTAAGCACCTATAAGATTAAAAATAAGTTGGCACACATAATGAGAATCAGAGATTAAGTTAAAAGTCTGTTGAGAAAAGGTGTGGAAAGCTAAAATAGCAGCAGATAATTCTGAGCGTTGTGATGAGGATTGCACTGCAGTGTAGGCAGATGATATAAAATACAGCCTATATAGTCAGCATTGAAGAGATAAGTTATTCTGAAAATAAAATTGAAAATCAAATTTTGGGATAAGAAGAACAATATTAATTAAATCAGTCCCATTTCAAGGACAAGCTTGATTGTGTCCTGAGGTTATTTCAGCAACAGCCTGGATAAAAGATAACACATTTTGGGATGGGATAAGTAAGCCATTCAATACAATATACTTTTTGCGCTTCTAACACAGCTAATATTCCTGTAAGTATTTTACTAGTAAGAAATATCAAAAGTGTTAAGTTACAATTCCTATATTGTTTTCCTTTGGTCAATAAGTTAAATTCCAAGTTAATCAAAGATGGAAACAGATTTCTATTAAGTAGGTTAAACATTTACAAAACTTAAGTTTTGCTAGCTGAAACTGCAAGAGCGGGGATTAAATTTCATCTCCATTCGCAAACTGGAATTCTAAGCAGAGAAGGAAAAAAAAGTTTAAAACGAACAGTTCCCCCCCTTCCTTCTTTCTTTTGGTCTCTCTTGCTCTTAAAGCAACACAGCCAGTTGAAAAACAAAAGAGACAGGAAAAATTTTTGTTACAAACTTCTCACTACTTATTTTTGATAACAAAAACTGGAGTGTTCCATGGACTAGTGGAAGGGGCAATGTGTTTGGCTTGTAATTGTTCTTGAACAAGAATTTTTAAGGCCTGTAATTTGTACAGAGCAAGAGGCCATTGTTCCACCCAAACAGGGGTAGTAGTTAACCAAGTTAAGGGTAAGGCAGACAGTTTATTCATCGAAGGTGACAGTAGCCCCCCATTTACTAAGCAAGTCTCGTCCCCAAAGGTTGACATGAATGTCAAGAATGAAAGGACGAAGTTGAACAGTTACAGTAGAATTAGGAAGACTTGCAGAAAGAAATTGTGTACTTTGTCGTGCACCTTGTCGCCCTCCTACACCCCAGACACTAGGGCATGGGTCAGTGGGCCAAGATGCAGGCCAATCTTTAGCTGAAATTACTGAAACATCAGCCCCTGTATCAATTATGCCCTCAAAAGGCTTACCCTGAAAAAAGACTGTCTGACAGGGTCGCTGGGTGGTGATTGGGGTGGTTAATGCAATTACAACAGGATCTGTGGAACCAAACTTGCCGTCCCCTCGATCCCCATCACGACCCCCTGCAGGGACAAAATAGGGCAAATGGAGTAATTGTGCAGGACTAGTATTACTTGGCAAAGTCTGTGGCATGTTAGTCCATAATTGAATAAAGATGACACCTGTATAGTCAGAATCAATTACTCCAGGTATTACAAAAATTCCCTTTTTTCCCATGCTAGAGCGAGGCAAAATTAATCCAACATATCCAGAAGGGAGAGGTCCAAAAAGTTGTGAAGGAATTATTTGTATTTCTCCTGGAAATTTGAAACACACTTCTTGTTGGATAGTTAAATCTATCCCAGCAGGGTTATTGTTAATTGTTGATGGAATTACTGAAGGGTCTCTGTTTGGACCGGGGCCAGAGACCGACATTCATTAGCCCAATGAAATCCCTTATTACACTTAGGGCATTTTGTTTTTGGACGTCTCCCAGCATTATTTTTAAATGGTCGGGAGGCATACTTTCCTCCCCCAGGATTTCTGCAATCCTGTTTAAAGTGTCCAATTTTACCACAATTATAACATTTCCCCTGAGGTTTTGTAAGAGCTGTAGCTAAGAGATTAGTTTGAAAAGAAACAGTCCCTATGTCTTGACATGCGTTTATCATTTCTGCTAAATCTGGTTGAGCTCCCAATCCAATGATGGCCCGTTTACATTCAGAGGTGGCATTTTCTTTAGCCAATTTCATAAGCAATTCAGCTTGGGCATCAGGATTATCAATTTGTCGTCTCAAGGCATCTTGCAGACGGTTAATAAAATCTGCATATGGTTCATTTGCCTTTTGACGAATATTTGAAAATGCTTGAGATGGTTTCCCAGTTATAGGAACTTTTCCAAAAGCTTTGTAAGCACATTCAGAGGATATTTGAAGAGTAGCTATAGGCAAAACAATTTGTGCATCCACTGGAGTGTAATCACCAGAGCCAAATAACTGCTCTGGATGTAAGCACCTCCAGAAGTTGCTGCTCTTAATGCACATTGATGTCTAAACTCACTATCCCATACCACATACTGAGCTGGTGTTAATAACATACGAATTGTTGTTTTCCAATCTTCTGGTACCAAAACATGATTCCTCATTGTTGCTCCTAACATACCTTGCACATATGAACTACCTAACCCAGTATCTCTTATACCCTTACGCAATTCTGTTAAGATTGCATAAGAAAGTGGTTGAATATCAACTGGGGCTCCATTCTCATCTACCTGCCCAGTCAAATGTACAGGACAAACTGAGAGCATATCTGCTATTTCCTGCATATCTCCCTCTCCTTTCGCCATTTGATTTTCTAATACATGGCGAATAGAAACATAAGATCTAGAATTCTTTTGCTCTGAAGGTGTTACATCTATCATGGAAGATATAGGAGCTGATGGAACTGAAACCTTTTCATGATTAAAACCTGGAGAGGGAATAGAACTTAATTGTACTGCATCAGTTCCATATTTTTCCATTGCATGGCGACATTGATGCCAACAATGCAAAACATCCACTGAGGCTCGGGGTTCCTGATGAAGGGTGTTACCTATTCTTTCCCAATCCTTAAGTTGGAGTGTCCCCCTTTCAGCATACCAAGGACAGTTTTTTCCTATTTCACCCACCAGCTTCCTAAGCTCCCTTTCAGGCATGGTCATGCCCGATTTGTGTAAGAGAAACTTTAACTCCCTTACATGCTTTTGCTGATGGTGAGATATATCGCAGCCCATACTTACAGTTTGAGAAATCTTGCAGGACGACAAGACGAGAAGGTGCACCAAGGGGTCTGTTCCAGACGACTGTAAATATGTTGGGTGCTGCTTTCCCTCGGAAGGGGATGTCCCAGTTCAAGGCGTCATTTGTAACGATGCTAAGAAAAAGACTCAGGCATGTCTTGGACAGAGGTTTGAAGCTGCACGACACATCTTCACACAGCTTGACAAACTCTGAATTTATTGTTTCTTATATACTTTTTACATACATAGGCTCTTACCATTAACTGCTGACATTTTACATTTAGAAGTTTAATCTTTAGCTGTTGACATAAAGTAATTGAAAAATTCCTTCATATAAGCAATTATTTTCTAGTAACACATTACCTGTTGAGAGCAGGTAAAAACAAATACAGGTAAATTAGAAAAGGAGAAAGAACTGATAAAGACAAGAAGAGATAAAGACAGGAAGAGATAAGGGGGAACTTATTATTTAGGTAGGTAAAATATTAAGTCAAAAGGGGGTGATCTTTTGGCTGCTTCCTTGGGACAAAGTGTATCAAAAGGTTATGAGGTTTGTGGGGGGCAATGCATGGCAGCTTGCTGCACCTGCAAATTCCTCCACACTTGGGAGATAGGAGAGTCCCCTCCTTCTGCAGATACAGCAAGGGGGAAAATAACAGTTCTTTATTAACTCATCTTCCCTAGCCTGATGCCCTTGGAAGAGATGGGACTAACTCCCAGAATTCTGGCTGCCAGATGGGGGGAGGAAAGTTGACTACATCCATGCCTGCCAACTTGAGGAAGAAAAACTAATCCAATTTGATGAAGACTAGGGACCAAATCTAAGAAGTCTGCAGAGGTTTCCAGTATTTTTACATTATTATTTATTCAATTTCTACCCTTCCCATTTGAAATAAGTGATTCTTGTTGGTTTACAGCAACATAATAAAATGATGTAAACAAGTGAATAAAAATACAGATTAAAAGCAAAGTTAAGAACAAGTAAAAACTTAAAAGTTAAAGTTAAAAAATTCAGAGGTAGTGAAAGTATGCTCAAGCCAATGCATCCCCAGGGTGGCATCATAATCTTAGACCCCCATGGTAACTGGCATAAAGAGAATAGTCTTCTTCATTCAGATGCAGTCTGCTTCTGAATGTAAAATTGTGCTTGGTTCTGATGATAATGCCAATATACTAAACTTTCATTACTTTAACCAGACCTTCTTTTCTTTTATACTTGTGTTTTGCAGCTGCAGATTCTGATCATTCCCCCAAACAGCAGACCAGTGAAGATGAAACTTCCGAGGAAGAAGAGAAAGATGATGTGAAGGAACCCAGCTTTGTGATGAAGAGATGATGGTCTTGCTGCTCTACTGTAGTTAATAGCCAGCCAGCATCAAGGAACTGAATTGAACAAAAGGGTTTTTCTGCTCTTTTGGACTTGACTGTGGCACTAATATGGCCACAACAGTCCTGTAGAATATCTTGCTGGATCCAAATCAAATGAAAGTTGATTTCAGACTTTCTTGTATTACTGCTGTGCAGGGTTTCAGGGAAAAGTGTCAGCATCATGTAACTCTCTAGTTCCTCTGCTATTGCTCCAAAGTGAAATTTCTTTATCAGCTTACGTCTTTAAGCAGATCTTCTCCTGAGAGACTTAAATATACAAAATGGAGTTATGTGACTGAAAAATGGACTTGACTTTGAAGCAGACAATAGTCTCTATTTCCTGAGACTTAAATATACAAAATGGAGTTATGTGACTGAAAAATGGACTTGACTTTGAGGCAGAAAATAGTCTTTATTTCCTGCAGGGGAAAAAATAATTTCTTGAGGAGTCTCTACTAAATTAGCCTTTATTCCTTGCATTTCTGCTGCAAGATAAGATTTTCCAACCACTAAGAAGATCTAGTGTTTCACTTCAGAAGTGTGTTGTTCATTTTTATTATAAACATTTCTGAATAAAAAAGAGGATATCCAAGTGTTTTTGTTTTCCTGCCTCTGAAGGATAAACACTGTGCATTTTATATGGACTTTTCGTCCATGAATTTGCCTGCCAAAAACATGTAGCCATTTAAGATAAATAGATCTTCCACATTCACTGCACTATACATTAGAGCACCTATTGTTAGGAAATACTAATTCATGAGTATCCTAGGGTTATCTGACTAATCAGTGTGGGAAACAAAATACTCAATAAAATATTTCATTCTCAGTTTTTAATTTTGGTATAATCTTTAAGTGGGTCTTCCGCCTTGAAATACAGTTGCCACATTCCTACACAGTGGTACAATCAATTTTCTTTTGTTTTCTGGAGAAAAGAGATGTGTTTATACTGTATACATGGTCTGCCAAAATCAAAAATGATGTTTTCACCTAATGTGTGAGTTTTGCAGTTGAGGCCTATGCAAAAATAGGTGTTCCTCTGTGATTCCCATTTTACTTGATTCATCTACAAAATTGTAATATAAAAAAATGATACTGATAATTTATAATAAAGACTTTAACTTTGCAACACAGCACATCCTAGTATATAACTAATTCCTGACTGATGAAATTGTTTTGTGACTCATAAATATAGAAGGGTGTTGATGTGTAAAAACTGATTACCAGGAAGTTAATCCTTTCAGCTCTATGAAGAGAGAAATCAAATGCCTTCCTGCAGCCCTCAAGTTTATAGGCCAGCCATGCCGAAGATGAATGTTGAATATAGTTTGTATGTAAATCTGTTCAAGACAGAACTGGGTTCCTTAGAGACAGAATTAGCTATGAACCTTTAGGGACAGGTTCTATGAAAAAGCAAAATAAATGGTATTACTTGGGACAAGAGATCTTCGGGGACCAATTCATGCCAATTTTAGAATAGCTGTGCCAAGCTCCAGAAAAATAAGATTTGGTGTTGAAACTGGATTAAATAAATTTTGACTGATTAGTTAGGGGAGAGAATGCTATTGCTTCTGGGCTAATTTTAGATAAGAGTCAAATTTTTTATTCTAAATTCAAAAGGAGATGCATTCTCCACATACTCAGATTAATATAAGCGCATTTCCTTAGAAAGCAAGTGGCAAACCCTTACTTTTCTGAGAAAAAGGGACAGAGGATCTGCTGGTTAAGGCAGTGAGGAAGTGCCAGTCTGTTCACTGAGAAAAGGGACAGATATTCGAAAAACTCAAAATGTTTGCTTTTGTATCTTATACTATAAGCTAATAAAATATTTCTTAAAAACTCAAAATATTCAGGTCCAGCTGGGGAAAAGAACCGGCTCAAAACGAACTTCTTTCCCAGTCAAAAGGAAACATTTGCAATGCAGTAGAGCGTGGGAGCACCTTCGCCATCTCGGTCCCCCGAAACGGTCCAGCGGGAGAAAGTCAGACGGAGAAAGAAATGCGAGAGATCCCTCCGTCACATGTTTGCTACTATCGTGAGGACACGTGACAAGGCCTTGGCGTTGCCTTGGCAGCACCGCAGGCGACGGCACTGGCGTTCCTGCAGCTGCCGCCGCCGCCGCCGCCCATCGTCCATGGGGTAAGTCGGCGGGAGGGCTGGTGGAGGTGGGTGCCTACTTTGCATATTCGCATATTCATAAATGCATAAAAATAGGTAAGAGCGGGTGGTAGACTCTGTCCGCCACGACGCAAAAAGTGAGGCTTGGCAAGGCGTGGGAGGATTCAGAAGAGCTGCCTCCCCTTTGCGCCGAGGTCCTGTTCGCTGGACACATTTAATCAGCTGAAGTAAAGACTTGGCAGATGGCAAAATATGCTTAACTTGATTAGCATTAAGCCTTCTTCTTTGTTTCGTGGCTTAGTGGGTGCCGCGAACCCAGAACTCGCTTGTGTTTAGTGTGTTGTGTGGAAAGAGGTTAACCTAGGAACCGTGTTTTGCAAACGGAATCATAAAATCTTAATTGTAAACTTGTATCCAGAGAGGTCTCCTGCAAGTAACAGTATTTCTACTGTAATGCAACAAATAATAATTGATAATAAATTACCATAAAATTATTCTTTATAAACTGCCTTGCCTGCAAGAATCTACATAGATGTCACTTTATTTTCTGGAAATACTTTTCAAATAATTTCATCCACAATCTTTTAATAAGTAAAAGCATTTCTACAATATTATTAATCTGCTATTAAGAACATATTAAAGTACAGGGAACTTAACAAAAGTTAACGCTAATCAAGCTTAATATTTTGTGCAAATACAGCTATAGCGCTTTAAAAGATGGGGGGAGTTATACTGTAGCATTATTTCAGTGGATTCCTGCATTAGGTAGAGGGATGGACTAGATGATCACTAATGTCCCTTTCAACCCTTATCTTCCCTAAGTCTATAAAGCCATTCTACTCCCCAAAATCTTAAATATATACTATATGTTTGCAGGAGTAGAGGAATACAGTTTGTGTATTTTGAGGCGGCATTCCGGTATTGCCTATCTTGATTGTGTGTTTTGAAGGATTCAGATCAAATTCTTTTGCAGCCCTATGGGAAGAAGTGGGTTTGAATTTGACAGAGTGCTGGCTTATTGCCAACACTGCCATTTACTTCCAGGTAGGAGTTTACTGTAAGATTGTAACCTTCTGTTTTGATTTATCTAATCTCTAAGACTACATTACTATATACCTATACATATGAATATCTTTTTCTGTCATTTCTAAGGGCCAGCAATATATCGTACTGCTTTATAGAGTTTTATAGGCAAAAGGAGCGGTCCATATCTGCTAAGAGTTTACTATCTGAAATAGGCAATGAGGAAGCAATATTGAGTGGGGAATATTAAGAGTATTCAGCATGTGCATTAAAGAAACCAGCTGAGGGACACCATCAAAAATGGACTTGAAACAAAGAAGCAGCTCCCAGTGGCAGGAAATATCTGAGTACCTTTTAAAAGCTAGAAGAACAGGAGCCCCTCTCTTCATGGTATAGGGGGTGCACAAGCGTGTGCCTGGAACGTCTCAGATCAGTCCAACACAATGCAGATGAGAGCTCCATTTGAGAAGTATGGATTTCAATAGGTAAGTGTTCAATACTCAAGATACTTAGATATTCTCTGCTGAAATCTCTAAAAATCTTGTTTTAACTGGATTAGCTCCCCCAAAAGACTTCTGATAAAATATATTGGGTGATATTAGCTGCTGAGGGAGGATGGAGTGGTTATCCAATCCAGATTGGGGAAAGGTGCTGTAATTTTAATGGGAAAGAATATATTTTCTGATAGGGGTATGTATGGAATATGTATATGTGTGTATGTGCATGTTTTTTCTATACCTTTTGCTCAGTATGTATTATTAATCTTCCAATTCAACTTCAATGTGTGCTTGTAAGCATTGCATTAAATATTCTTTCTCTCTCTTTCATTTGGTTTTCTTATTTGCTGGCTTCTGGATGGCATAAAAGTGAGAATATAGCCTTTTGAGATATACTCTAGGCAAGTCAGTATAGACTTGGCATGCCTGAACATTAAGTTGTACGGCACATTATATTCTCTGCATGAAATCAGCATGTTGTGAGAACATTTGCACACACAGCAAGATGCCCCACCCAGAAGTGCTCTGGTATTAATGACAGGATAAGGAGTCCAACGCAAGAATTCACAACACAGGGAGGGATAGCTAAAAAGGTAATATTAATCACAATAACTCCACCAGGGAAAGGTAGAAACACAAGCATTTATTTATCACTTGATTATTTGCATCTGTGTAGTGGAGTAATTTCCATATGTGGGCAGTGTATTGGCTGGTATATTTCTAGCAAGGAAAACAGTGTTCTGTTTGAGATTGATTGATTATGTGCCATTATCCATGGTGACTCCTGGCGACCGCATAGATAGATTTTCTCCATGACAGTCTTTCCTAACCTGATCTTTCATGTCTCCCAATGGTGCACTCATCACCATTGTAATTGAGTCCACTCACATTGCTGCTGGGTCATTGTCTCTTTCCTTGCACCTTTCCCAACCTCAGAGCCTTCTACAAAGAGCTGGCTCTTCACATAATGTGTCCAAAGCAAGACACATTTATGCCTTAAATACGAACTCTGGGTTGATGTGGTTGATGATCCATTGGTTTCTTTTCTGGACTGTTCACAATATTCTCAGGAGTGAGACACTAGAATAAACGTATTTCTTTGCATGGAGGGATATGGAGTTACAATTTTTCAGTGGGGGTACAAGATGGTGGCAAAATGATGCAGAATTCTTTTCTGTTGGTTTTTCCCAAAGTTTTAAAAAACTGGCTATGTATCAGGGACTGATTAGATTGGACCTGGTTTGGTAAGAATTAGGATAGATTATATTGGTACTCTTTGAATTGGTCCTGAAAGAGGAGAGAAAATTGATGATTGATACAACCTTTAAAGGTAGGAAGCTAGGAATCAATATTATTAATACAATTGAAAGTTGTTATTAACACCTAACTCCTCCAAATATACTGTATGTTAGATCAGCATAGTGGCATCCTTAAGTGATAGACTGATGAAGATGGTTTTGCTGGGCTTCCTGTCAGTTGAGAGGATACCGTGTTAACACAACGTATTGTGTTATGCTATTACGGATATTTTAAGAAGAGATTGGACAACCACTTGTCTGAAATGGTATAAGGTTTCCTGCTTGAGGAGCAGGGATTGAACTAGAAGACCTCCAAGGTCCCTTCCAACTCTTATTCTGTTATTCTGTTTGTTTCTCTGAAAAAAAAAAATGAAGGGATACTGCTGCTGCTTCACAGTTGTGCAAAAGAGATGCAGGAACATTTTGGTGCCAAGACACCTATCAGGTATGGGATTGTAGCAATTCTGTAATTGGAAATTACACTTGGAGTATTCATTTCCAACCAAAACATAGCATGCAAATTAAGTAAATAAAAATATCTTGCCCAATGCAGATAATAGTTTTTTCAAGTCACCCTCTGTGGAATTACAACATCCATTTCTTATAGGAACTATAAGAACTATGTTGAATCCATAGTGATAGATTACACTCTGGATATATTTTTTTTTAACAGCATAGAGCAGGGGTGTCAAACTGCCGGCCCGTGGGCCAGATGCATCATGTGGAAACTGCGCCTATCCCATTGCCAACAATGGCAAAATTTCCGATACGTTGCGCAACGTCACGTGACGTCGCGAGTTTGACATGCCTGGCATAGAGGAACAGTGGACTGAAAGTGGGTGATATTCATCAGTTCCCTTCTCATAGTCAAACCCTTTCTTGTTGGTATTTTGACTGTGCAGGGCTGAGGGACGAAAGAAATTACTTGTACAGCTAGTCTCATTTACTGACTGTTCACAATTAAAATGGGATGAAAAACGTAACTTTGTGACCAGTCTATAAACCAAAGGAAAGCTGAAATAAAATTGTGATGTTTCATTTAGCAGCTGCTTTGCTTAATGACTAAATTACCAGTCCCAATTGTACTACCTGTGTCCCCTTGACACCTCCTTTCATATATTGGTAGATTGCAGAATCTGGAATACTATCATACTGGTGTAATGTATTAAATAAGTGAGATTTACCAAAGTATTCAGAGGCTGCCATACAAATCTGGCTGTTCAGCAACATTTTAATTGGTATCGCTATAGTATCAGTTACATTATAATTGATACTACAGATTGGCCATGACTTACAACCACAATAGTGACAGAAATTTACATCATAAATCATTGCAGTGATAAGTCACCATGTGACCATCCCAATTTTACAGTCATTTTTACCACAGTCATATGTCGAGTCATCCTACAGTCATAAATCAAGGCATGTAGTTGTAACAAATTCACTTTTCTCACTGACATTTTTAACAAGGAAGTGACAAAAAAAATTGCAATTCACGATTACATGACTGTGAGCCACTGCAACAGGTCATATATGCAAACCAGTTGTCAAGCATCTGAATTGCAATCACGTGACTGCAGGGGGGGGGTAGTGCAGTGTTTTGTGACAGTTGGAAGTGCATTACAAATCATAAAGTGCCCTTTCCGAGGCTGTTTTTTATTTAAACTGTCATTAAGCAAATGGTCAGAAGTCAAGGACTACAGGTATTAGAGATGAACAATTACGATCAAGTCTATTTCTGTTGTGGCTCCCAGTTTATTAAACTATCTTTCTGGGAATGAAAATGCTTACATTGTTATGTTACCCACATCAATTTCTTCCTATCTGGTCCATCAACTTCTGACTTAGATGTTAGCAGCTGCTGCTTATATTCTAACAGGGAGCTATTGAATTTTCCAGATATATTGTAGCTCAATTCTTTGAATCTTCAACTAAGCCAACCAGGCTTTCTCTATATACTAAGCCATGCAAATACCAGGCCTTTAATAGATCTAGTTGTGTAATCTGTGTGAGCATAGCTGTAAACTGTAGGCCAGTGGTTCTCAACCTGTGGGTCGGGACCCCATTTGGGGTCGAACGACCATTTCATGGGGGTCACCAAACAAGGCTGTCCGCCATTTCCCCCCCTTTTCTTTGGCCACGCCCCTGGCACCCGGTGATGTATAAGTGGTTGGGGGTCACCACAACATGGGGAACTGTATTATGGGGTCACGGCATTAGAAAGGTTGAGAACCACTGCTGTAGGCGGTCCTTGTGGCTGATTTCCATTTCTCTCTGTTTAAAATGAGAAGAAAAAGTGACACAAAGCAAGATGCAGAACCATAGTCAGCAGAGTATATAAGTGACCTAGAAACTGTGTTTGCAGCCTTGCAAATTGCCAGAAGATCGTGGCAGATCAGTCATTTGTTGCTTGAATGGTGTGATGCACACTCAGAACAGTGGCTTGGGTAGTATAGCAGGTAAGCCCCAAATCAGCCAGCAAAAAAATGGCTTGCAATGAGGCTCGCTCCGAGCCAGCTTTTTGGGTGCTTTAAGGATCTGTTTTATATTAGCGTTTGACATTATTGTCTTTATTGTCCGTTGGATCCAGATGTAGTCAAATGCCAAGTACATTCATTGGAATCAAATTTCCTAAAACAAAAATTGCCAACATCCCATTTGATTGATTTCTGACAATATAAATGGATTCAATGAGATGGTTTATTTGGGTGAAATATTTAAATTTTCTTTGAGTAAATAAATGAATACACGGCCTAAGTATAAGTGGCCTGTGACTGAATAGAGGGTTGTTCTTGCACAGTGGCCTGTAAATTAGAAAAACAAAAAAGAGTCCTAATTCTGAGTTGGAATGCAAATAGGATTTTTTGCATCCCACTCTGGGAATGCTTTTTCATATTGTGCAAAATCAGTCGCAGTGCATCCCTCCAGTTACTGATCACCTAGGCTGTCTTCTAAATAATTGATTTATCGTGAACAATTTAATTTTGTATAGTATTGTGTGTGTGTGTGTGTGTGTGTGTGTGTATAGAGAGAATTCCTTCTCTTCCTTTTGCTTCTCTCCACCCTCTTTTAGGAAACAACCGGGGAGTGTTAACAACCTCTGTTTTCTTTGCAGATTACTAATTTAGAATCCTTAGGTCAAATATTGATATATTTACAACCAAACTTCACATTTTTAAATATTCAACAGTACAGAGTGATGCAAGATGTCCATGGGGAATGATCAATAGTCTTTGTTCCAGAATCATATTGCTAAGTGTCTTGAGATTTTCCATAGCTGGAGTAAAATGGCTAAGAAGAACAGTGCTGGAGAGTTTTACCCAGGAATCTAAGGTTTTAATAAGCTGTCTCTGTTTCTCTTTTATGTATCTTTTCTGCCTCACTTTCTGTTTTCAGGGTAAATTATGCAACAGTGCATAATTTCACTCAGAGCCACGTTTATATCCTGTAGGGCTTGCAAAATGTGAGTGTGTTTAGCTGCTCTATGTGACTCAGAAACCATGAAAGAAAACAGTATGGTTGAGAAGGAACAAGACACAGCTGTTAAGAATCAGATCAAAAGTAAGATAGCCATGGAAGTTAAGAGAGATTGCCAGATTCTGAGCAGAATAGTTGCTGCTTTTTTTGGCTTCTGTGCTAGATCATGACCATTGCTGGATCTGACCACTAAAGCCAGATAAGAAAACATGCTTCACTTAACCATAAAATCTTGGGGAAACTGTAATCTCCCATTATTTTGGAAGTCTAGTCACCAAAGTTTGGATTACATGTTCTCAAAATATCTATTGGAACTACAGGTAGTCCTTGACTTATGACCACAGTTGAGCCCAAAATTTCTGTTAAGTAAGGCAGTTGTTAAGTGAGTTGAGCCCCATTTTATGACCTTTTTGCCACAGCTGTTACATGAATCACTGCAGTTGTTAAGTGAACCATACAGTTGTTAAATGAATCTGGCTTCCTCCATTGACTTTGCTTGTCAGAAGCTGGCTGAGAGGGTTGCATAGGCTAATCACACGACCCTGGGACAGTGCAACTATCATAAATGCATGCCAGTTGCCAAGTGCCTGAATTTTGAAGACATGACCATGGGGATGCTGTAACAATTGTAAAAGTGAAACTCAATCATGTCACTTTTTCAGTGCCATTGTAACTTCAAAAGGTCACTAAACAAATGACTGAAAGTCATGGACTACCTCTACAGATGTGCTAAAATGGCAGTACAAATGATCTACCGTAAGAGTTTCCTTCAGGGAAAATGTTAAAAACACTAAAACATTGGAATCTTTTACTCTGGGGACCAAGTTTTAAAGAAGGACAAGATAGAGATTGATAAACTGTACTTTATGATAGATAAGTGTTTCATAGAAGCATCGAATTGGAAGGGACCACGGAGATCATCTAATCCATGTTTAAAGACTGAATACTAGTTGTTTGTTGGATATAATCCTGGGTTGTATAAACAGAGGCATAGAATCAAGAACATGCCAAGTATTAGTATCACTTTATAAAGCCCTAGTAAGACCACACCTGGAATACTGCAGCCAATATTGGTCACCATATCACAAAAAAGATGTTGAGAGTTTGGAAAAAATTCAGAGAAGAGCAACTAAGATGATCAAAGGCCTGGAGATCAAAACATACGAAGAACGGCTACGGGACTTGGGTTTGGCCAGTCTAAAGAAAAGAAGAAATAGGAGAGAAATGATAGCAGTGTTCCAGTATCTGAGGGACTGCCACAAGGCAGAGGGGGTCAGGTTGTTCACCAGAGTACCAGAGGGAAGGACAAGAAACAATGGTTGGAAACTGATTAACCTGGAATTAAGGAGAAACTTCCTGACCGTGAGGACAATCAACCAGTGGAACAGCTTACCCCCAGAAATGTGGGCGTTCATTCACTGGATATTTTTAAGAAGAGACTACTAGACAATCGCCTGTCTGGATGGTAGGTTCTCCTGCTTGAATAGGGGGCTGGACTAGAAGACCTCCAAGGTCCCTTCCAGATTCTATTCTGTTCTGTTCTGTTCTATTCTATTCCCATTGGGGTGGAAAAGCTATTGATTTTGGACTTTCCAAGACTATCTGGAAAGCTGCAGTGGGCAGTTGGATACTTGTCCAGAAGCATATTTGGTTTGCTGCATTAGAACTCTTCTTCTGTTCTAATTATTATTTAATAAACTTGTATACCATCTGATTCTCAGTGACTTTTGGTGTTATCTGCAGAAAATGTTGTTTAAGAGACAAAGATGCATCCACACAGCCATTGGGTTCATCCCTCCCATAACTGCTATTCTTCCCATTTCCTGACTTCATTCCTATTGAAGAACAAAGAGCAGCTACCAGCTGGGCCCCCATCCTTTTCTACTGTGATTTCTTTTCATGGATATAGACAAATTAAAATCACTAAAGACCACTAACCTGCCCCTTGGCGCATCTGTGGGGAATGGGGGCATGGTGCCGAAACACCAACCCCAAGTGGGTGGGGGAAATCCCAGCAGGCAGGAGATAGAAGGAGGCAGGAATTTCCATTGATGGGAATGTCCCATCCTGTAATTCTGAAAAAAATTACAAATTGTCTTTGCAGTGAAGCCTAAATTGAGCCAATAGTTAATCATCTCGACTTCCCAAGCCTCTTAGAAACTCTACAATAATGTGCACTGTGTATCTCAGATCAGTTCAGGTGGATGTGACAAACTGGGTACAATAGCTTAATGGAGAACTTGATTAATTAATTAAGTGAAGATAATCATTTATCATGTTGGATTACTACCTGAAATAAAAGATATAGGATTTGTGTTTTGCTCTAAATTGTCACTTTTGCTTTTTTCTCTCTTTCAGCCAGAAATATCTTTTCATTTCTGAAGAAGAGTTTATCTTTTATCCTTTTCTTTCTTCTCAGACTCCCATTTTGTATTATTGATTTGGTTTTTCTTACACACACATACAAAATTAAAATTTCAGGAAATTCTGGTGGAAAAACTTGAAATATTACAATGCTTGCTTTTAAGCACTTTTTACAAATGTGAAGTTATGCTATTATTTTACAAATGTATTGCATATTACTTGATTTATCCATAAACCAAATTTTGCGCATAAAAGTGAAAAATATAGTTGAAGGCAATAATTATGAGCGTATTGTTTCAATTTACTTCAATATACTATTGTTTGTTGCCAATAAAACTGCAAATGTATCACCTTTTATGCTTGTTTAGATGAGGTAGACAGGCCAAAAGGTAAATCTGAAAACAGAAGAAATAAGTATTGTATGAAATGACACAAACACAAAAAATTAACAATCAAGCAGCTTCAACAAGCACTATTTTCTGGGAAAGAAGCTAAAGTACGTAGAGAGGAACAAAGGCACAAAATGTATATTTTGCTATATCAGTCATTGCTGAATGTAACAGGCATTGTTGTATAATCCGTTTTAAAAAGAGAGGTAAAGAAAATATCTGTTGAAAAGTGAAAAAATGTTTGTCTCTCATTTTTTTTCCAATTTTTTCCTAGGTGCTTTATATTTGTATGTAAATACAGGTAGTCCTCAACTTATGACCACAATTCAGCCCAAAATTTATGTTGCTAAGTGAAAAAAATGTTGTGAGTTTTGCCCCATTTCACGTTTCCTGCCACATTTGTTAAGTGAATCACTGCAGTTGTTAAATTAATAACACAGGTGTTAAGTGAATTTGGCTTCCCCGTTGACTTTGCTTGACAGAAGGTCACAAAAGGGGATCACATGACTCTGAGACATTGCAACCATCATAAACGTGAGCCAGTTGTCAAGCATCTGAATGTAAATCACATGACCATGGGGAGGCTGAAACAGTCATAAGTGTGAAAAATGGTCATAAGTCACTTTTTTCAGTGCCGTTGTAACTTCGAACTGTAAACGAGCTATTGTAAGTTGAGGACTACCTGGATACTATTCACCTAGCCTAATTACTATATACTTATGTTCTTTTTCTATTATTTCATTTTCTGTCAGCTAACTTGTGCAATTTCACCTTTTATTTCACTTTTATTTCCAGGGCTTTAAACAGCTGTAAACAATGTTTTGTTGCATCATTTTAACTAATTTTAATTCCAAAAAGGGTACAATGACTATGTTACAGTATTGTTAAAGAGCAATACTGGAAATCGCCTTGAGAACAATGGCTATATTCAGAAAAAGTCAATTTTATTTAATAATTCCTACTCGTGTAGAGCATCATTGGTGCCTTCTTTCAGAATATTGGTTTTCCAAAGCACCAGCATTTTAATGGTACACACATGTTTTGAAAACTACATCTTGGTCAGCTTTGCTCATATTGGTCATCAGGAGTGTATTCAATTGTACTTCTTTTCTCATACTTTGTTAGCAGTTTCTTTTCATTTGGATTTAAACCTTGCCATTTCAGGGTATTCAGACTGACTTTTCCTTGCCAGCCTAGGCCCATTCCTAAGTATTTTAATCCTGTAATGGTCATACCAACCTCTTTTCTATATTTCCTTTCTATATTATTTGAGTGTTTAGTTTTGCATTTTCTGCCTCCTGTGACTGAAATGCTTGTGCTGCATAAAATGCATTAATCAGTACACTTATGCAGGTTGCACTGGGAATTCTTTAAACAAATGCTTTTATTTAATCAGTTGTAATCAGTGAATGTATGTGTGTATATACAAATTAGTATATGTAAATCAGGTAATTATAGAAACACTAATCCTACTTGTCTAAATCATTGTGTAGGTGCTTGATCAGCCTAGCTTATATTTTATTTATAAACAGTAGCTAATGGTTGGATTTTTTAAAAAAATTCTGTAGCTTGACTTTCATCATGAGTTCCGAGTTAAATGTCCCCGTAGACCCTCCTCCTTCAGCCTGCTGTGCTGAGCCCACTGGCAAGGGCATGGATTACCGGGACTGGGTCCGTCGTAGTTATCTGGAGCTGGTCACCTCCAATCATCACTCCGTTCAGGCCCTTTCATGGAGGAAATTATACCTGAGCCGAGCCAAGTTGAAAGCTTCCAGCCGGACCTCCGCCCTCCTCTCTGGATTTGCCATGGTATGTTTTTATAGCTGCTGGACTGTCACAATTTTCAGATCTGTGATCTGCTTCTATTACTGTGGAACTGAATTCCATGATATCTTCATTGGGTTCTTTAATACAGGTAGTCCTTGACTTACAACCATAACTGAGCCCAAAGTTTCTGTTGCTGAGTGAGACTTTTGTTAAGTGAGGTTTGCCCCCATTTAACGGCCTTTACTGCCACAACTGTTAAGCGAATCACTGCAGTTGTTAAGTCAGAAACATAGTTGTGATGTGAATACGGTTTCCCCCTTGACTTTGCTTGTCAGAAGGTCACAAAAGGGGATCCCATGACCCCAGGACAGTGCAACCGTCATAAATATGAGTTAGTTGCCGAGCATCAGAAATTTGATCACGTGACCATTGGGATGCTGCAACGGTTGTAAGTGTGAAAAGCAGGATAAGTCACTTTTGTCAGTGCCATTGTAACTTTGGTCACTAAACGAACTGTTGAAAGTCGAGGACTACCTGTACTCAGGTGTAACTAAGCTAACCTATGATTAGAAATATCCAGAGGAGCATTAAAAGTTTGCAATGCAAGCATAAATGCATAATTATGATAAACAAATGCTCATTTGTACATTCCATTGCTTCCACATCCTGTTTGTTATTTTTCTTTTCGGCAAGAAGTACAAAGCTTGCCTTTCTTTATGCATGTCCAGTGACTTTGCTGGAAGGAACTTATAAAATACTTTAAGAACTGTCACATAGATCAGGGGTCCCAAACCCCCAGTCCATGGACCGGCACCAGTCCGCAGCATGTTAGAAACCGGTCCGCACAAACAAGAGAAGCCCCATCCGTGGGATGCAGGCAGCACATGAAACCACGCCCCTTCCAGTCCACGGGAAAACCTCTCTCCACAGAACCGATCCCTGGTGCCCAAAAGGTTGGGGACCCTTGACATAGATGTAGATTCAGGGTAAATTCTAGCTCTCTTTCACTGCATGTGCTCAGAAGCTATAAGATTGTTGTTTGTATTCATTTGACTTGGTTCCTGTGTGCAGCAAGTTGTATTTGATGGCTTATTTTTTTTTTTATTTTAGACCAACAAAACAAAACAAAGCACAACAAACATTACACACATACACACGTAATATATCTTATTTGTTAACAGCAATTTGTAACAGTACTCTTCTATTCTTTACATTTCCCCCCTCTTTCTTCTTTGAAATATTTGTCCTTATTGCCCCATTGTTTCTTATTTACATTTTCCTTCTTTCATATTCTACTACTTACTAGGAATCCAACATTATTCATTGTAATAACACTCAAATTTTTTATAAGACTCGACCGGAATTCCATCTAAGCATGGTGATCATACAAATATTCTCATATTATTTAGTGCATATATTGTTTTTACTCTAATACTATTTCCAACATTAAAATTCACCCCTTTCCACATATTTGATGGCTTAAATGGCCTCTTTCATGATTCCTGTTACATTAGAGGTAGCAGCTTAAAAACTATGTGACTCTCCAGCCTTCAGAACCCTGGAGCCTCTCTGGTATCACAGCACTAACATTTAGCAGCAAAGATAATTTGTTAATTTTAAAAAAGAAATAAGAATAAAAATAGGTGTGTTATCATAATTATATGGCTGCCCATCTCACAAAAATGTGAGGGAAATGAAGGAAGGAAGGAAGGAAGGGAGGGAGGGAGGGAGGGAGGAAGGAAGGAAGGAAGGAAGGAAGGAAGGAAGGAAGGAAGGAAGGAAGGAAATTTTGGCCTTGCACCATTTAATGTGCTTAGTGACATCATTGTATCATTACCATATGGATTGGAAAAAAATTGCAAACCTTAGGTACAAAAAAATTCTGCCATTGTTCTACAATCTACATCATTTCCTTCCTTCCTAAACCATGTTTAGCAACCTTCTTTCCTAAACCATAAAACCATGTTAGTACCACAGTCATGGATTAAAACAAATTTCAATACAATTAGGTTTATAAATGCTTAAAAAGATAACATTAAATGGACGACTTCTCTTCATTTGATTATTTTCCCTTCTATCTTGACAACATGCTTATGTAATTGGTTTCTCCAATGGAGCTCCAGCCTAAATCCATTCAAACTGATTGATTGGTTATGTGCCATTAAATTGGTGTTGACTTTTAGCAACTATGTAAGATATGCTTTCTCCATGATGATCTGTCCTTAACCTGGTCTTTCAGGTCAAGCAAATAGTCACCTCTTAATATGTTGTTTTGCAGGTGGCAATGGTTGAAGTCCAGCTTGAGATGCAGTATCAATATCCCCAAATGCTGCTGATTGCCTTTAGTGCTTGTACCACCATTTTAGTTGCTGTCCATCTCTTTGCTCTACTTATCAGCACTTGCATCTTGCCTAATGTGGAAGCAGTGAGTAACATCCACAACCTGAACTCCATCAGTGAATCTCCCCATGAACGTATGCATCTATATATAGAGTTGGCATGGGGTTTTTCCACTGTTTTGGGCATCCTTCTCTTTCTTGCTGAGGTTGTCCTCCTATGCTGGATCAAATTTCTGCCAGTGGACTCCATGATGAGAAATGATAGTACTGTTATCCAGAAGACCAGCCAGCACACAGGCTGGCATGCAGCCCTCATCTCTACTATAATTATGGTTCCTGTGGGGATCATCTTTGTTGTCTTCACAATCCATTTCTACCGGTCACTTGTCCGCCACAAAACAGAACGCCACAACCGAGAGATTGAAGAGCTCCACAAACTGAAAGTGCAGCTAGATGGGCATGACAGGGGTTTGCAAGTTGTGTGACAAATGGATGCCTTTTTGTTCCTACACTCATGTCCAGCTGAGGGGTTTTTTAGAAACAGCAGAAGAAAGGCTTGATAGGCTGTTTAGAGTCCTATCCTTCTCTGATGACAAATATTTGGCTGCTTTTCATTGAGGCCCAGATCAACTTCTCTTTGTTTGTCATACTACAGCCAACATAACCATGTTTATAAAATTGAAGGCTACTTACATCTGGGCAGTTATTCTTTCTACTTCCATAACTTGAAAATACTCTATAATATAGCTGGATGATTGTGGTGCATTTTAATTTAATTTAATTGCTGCTAGTTTTAGTATTTTTTGAGCAAATGCATGGAATCAGGGAAGACTGTCACTGCTTCCTTACAGGCAAGTTTTACAAGCATTACTTTGGAAATGAGTTTGTACATCACAACATGCAAATAGATTCTACGGTATGGAAATTGTAAAATGTGTCTACTTTGCAATTTCATACAGAGGAAATTTTTCTACCTGACAAAAATAGATTCAGTTTGAGCCAAGAACTTTTCCTCTGCAAGCTTTTTTTTCTTTGTTTATTATTTCATATTGCTTCTGTATGATATTTTTTTCCCATTGAAAAAAAGGAAAAACAGCCCTTAGCCCAGAAATCTCCATGTTTTTGGTTAATGAGAATTTTTTGGAAAGTACGGCAGTACTTTTCCTTCTAAATGCTAATTATAAAAGAAAGATCTTTGATTGCACAACAGAGTTGTGTGTGTAAGGTTATAATTTAAAAACATCACACAATTTGTGTGGAGACACAATTTGTTACACTGCAGAAGGCATCCAAGCTGATACCATTCTCCAGTAACAAAAGACAGCTGGAATGTGAAGTACAAATTCTGATTGATGCACAAAGTTATTTTATGATGTAGAAATACTGTACTAGTGACAAGGTGTAACTAGTACTTGGAAAAGGCCTTTTCACGAGTCCAAGAATCTTTGTTCAAAGCACAGTTCTATATGTTCAAAGAATTCTAGCTAAGTGAAATGTGGATGATTTCATTTAGCTATTTTCAGTCTGAGAAAATTAAATTTTATCCTATGCATTCTAATTTAATAATGAGTTGATCCTATAAGTAAACAGACAGCTTTCAAAACATGTGCCCAACTATTCAGATGAGACAATGTCCTATTTCACACATCTTACAGTATTTATAATCAATTATTGTATGTTGAATATAAGAGGATAATTGTATGATGAATTACAAATACATTTCCTCAAATTTTTTTCTTATGCAAAATAGAGATACTTTGAAAAGGAAAAATAGAATATAATCGTAGAATATAATCCTTCCTGGCAAATTGTTCAAAGGTAATATGTACCTAATTGTATGCTTCATCCCTTATTTTCAGTGGTTTGCCTACTGGATATATTAATTTTAGTATAATTAATATATTTACATTGTACATGCATTTTCTGCAAAAGACATACTAGTTGCGAAGCTACATAAAATGCCATTTATTGAATACTTCAAAACAACTCTTGTATTTTTTTTTAAATAAGTCATTAATGATTTAAATAATATGTGCATTTGAGATGGTATGAGTATTTGAGTGTCTTCAAATTAGGCCTAAATCACAAGTCTGATATATAGCTGGTAATTGAGACTCTCTGAAAATTCCAGTATAACAAATAGATTATGTGCAGTATTTACATAGCAATAGAAGAGCCATATACACCTGTTTAAAAAAAAAAGTTCCTCAGAAGCAGTTGATTGGATCCGGATTTAGTTTCACTTTAGTTTTGTTACAATAATTGGGACAAGTTAGCCACAATTGCAAAATTTAGGATTAAATTGAATAAAGTAGGGAAAAACACTAGGCTACTCAGGTATGAACTAAATCATATCCCTGATGAATATATAGTAGAGGTGACAAATAGATTTAAGGAATTAGATCTGACAGAGTGCCTGAAGAACTATGGACGGAGGTTCGCAACATTGTACAAGAGGTAGCAACTAAAACCATCCCAAAGAAAAAGAAATGCAAGAAAGCAAAATGGCTGTCTGAGGAAGCTTTGCAAATAGCTGAGGAAAGAAGCGAAGTGAAAGGCCAGGGAGAAAGAGAAAGATACACCCAATTGAATACAGAATTCCAGAGAATAGCTAGAAGAGATAAGAATGCCCTCTTAAATGAACAGTGCAAAGAAATAGAAGAAATCAATAGAATAGGGAGGACCAGAGATCTCTTCAAGAAAATTGAGATATGAAGAAACGTTTCATGCAAAGATGGGCATGATAAAGGACCAAAATGGCAGGGACCTAACAGAAGCAGATTAAGAAGAGGTGGCAAAACTACACAGAAGAACTATACAAGAATGAGCTTGGACTTCCGGTGGATTTTGCGTGCGTGATGGCGGCTACTTTGTAGCCGTCCTCCTGGGTAAGTGTAAGAACCGCTATGAACAGCAGATATCAGCTGTTCAGCGGTTCAAAATCCCCCTCCCGGGCAAAGGGGGGGGGTAGAGAGTGTCTGAATAGTGGTAGAGCCTCTTTCGCACCCCCCAAGTTTTTTTTGGGGGGGGGTGAAAGGAGTGCTCCCACGGAGTTCAGACTTGTCTCCGCTTCCCAGCTGTTTTTGTCCTCAGGGACAAAACGAGCCGCCGCAAACACCTCCGTGCTTAAAGAGAACTGGTGAGTTTTTTTTTTTAAATGGACAGAGCTGAGTAGAGGATTTAGTTTTTGCTTTCTTTGACTTATTTGGATTTTAAGTTTTAAGATTTGTTTCTATTTTTATTCTCTCTTTTTATTTTTTTTCTTTGTTGAAAGGGAAAGTAAAATGGCGATCGGCAAACTCCTCGGTGTTTTTTTTTCTGGAAGTTAGAATGCTGACCGGCAGGCTTTTTGGTGTTTTTCTTTCTTTCCTTTCCCTTTCTCTTTTTATTTCCTTATGATTGGAATGGTTGTTTTTGGTATCTCTAAGTATTTTTTTTGGAACGGACTTTTTTTATTTAATTATTTTTTTTTTCTTCTCCCTTTTTTTTTCCTTTGAACTCCCTTTTTTTTTTATTGTAATGACCCTTTTTTGAAGGACTTTTTTTCTGTTTAATTTTTTGTAATTTTTAAGAAGGAGTAAAACTTTTTTTTAATTCTTTTTCTCTTCCTTTTTTTCCCTTTTTTCTTTTTATTATAATGACCTTCTTTGGAGGGAGTTATGATTTTTGAAGGAATTTTTATAATTTCTTAAGAAGGACTAAAGGTTTTTCTTTAAGATGGCTCCAAAGCGTCCAGGGATTTCTACAGTTTCTAAATCAACAGTTTCACCCTCTTCTGGGGGTCAGCTAATAACTATGAAGGACTTGCAAGACATGATGGGAGATGTTATAATTCAAATTAGGGCAGAAATGAAAAAGATTTTAGAGGAAAACAATAAGATCTTGAGACAAGATTTTGTTTTGGCTTTAGAAGGTGTTGCTTCTGTTCTTGAAAAGGTGAACTCCCATGTGGAAGAGGTAGCTGAAAAAGTGGACATAATGGAGGGGAAAATTGAAAGTATGGAAAAAGAAATGGAAAATGAGATTCTTATGCTTCAATATGGACAAATGGAATATGCCTTAAGAATTAGAGGCCTGGGAGAGTCTTTGCAAGGAGATCTGAAGGAGATGGTTGCAAAGGACTTTGCATTGATTTTGAATAAAGAAAAAGAGGGAATACTTAATGAAATTGAAAAATTATTTAGGGTTAACTCTGTGGTGGCAGCACAGAAGAATCTGCCAAGAGATGTGGTAATTTACTTTGGTAAAAGATCTTTACGCAATGAAATTGTGCAAGCCTATTATAAGAAGAGATTTCAAATTGCTTCACAAGATGTTATAATTTTTAAAGAGATCCCATCTAAAATTTTAAGAAGAAGAAAGGAGTTTGCTTTTTTAGCAAATGAACTTAAAAAGAGAAAAATTTCATTCAGATGGGATGTTCCGATTGGAATGGTGGTGAATTACCTGGGGACATGTTATAGACTTAATACTGTTTCTCAAGCAAAAGATTTTTATACTTCGGTCCTGGGGGTATGTGCATCGCCATCAATTAAGTTTAAAGCTTTGGAAGAAAAGAATGTAGAATCACAGTTTGAAGAGCCTATATTTATGAAAACTGGAGAATCTTTGTGTGAGAGGCCTCAACAAGTCCAGGTTGAGGAGCAGAAGACAACTTGTGCAGTATATAATCCCAAAGAAAAGCAGCAACAGAAGAAGGTTAAGGAAGTTTCATATTTAGTGGTTTCTGAATCTCTGGGAGATGTTAGACCTACAAAGTCTTTGGAGCAATCTTTAAGGGTGGAATTGTTGCCTGAAATGGAAACTGGGAAATCTCAGTCTGAGGGGCATCAACAAGAGAGGAACGGGCAGAGGATAACTTGTACAACTTACAATTGTAAAGATCAATACAAGGAGGAATTTAAGGAACCCTTATTGGCTTCGGAGTCGATGGGAGATTCAGGAATTTTGGAGCAGTCTCCTAAGGCAGAACTTGCAGCATTTCTTACGAGTTTGATACAAGAATGGAGAAGGGAAATGGAAGAATGGAAGAATGGAGAATGGAAAAAACTGGAATGTGAATAATTAATAATACTAATATAATTGAGATTGATAAGGATGTAGTTTTTTACGGATGGAATTAGTTATTGGTGAAGATTGAAATGTTTAATGTGTTTATTAACTTTGTTGTTTTAAGTTTTGAACCTTTAATGATAATATTGTTTAAATTTGTGTTTTGAAGGGATTATAATTTGCTTATTTTAGTGAGTGGATTCTAATGTTTTAAATTTTAAAAATTTGTGGTTTTGGAGGGAGTTTATATAGAGTGATGATTGTATTTAGATTTGTTTAGGATTTAAAAGTGTTTTTAGTTTTTAAATATTATTATTAATATTTTTAAGACAAAATAATTTGTTTAATTAAATGTGCTTAGATTTGTTTAGGACTTATAGGTTTTTTAAGTTTTTTTTTTTTTCTTTTTGGATAGGAGAGAAGATTATGAAGATTGAAGGAAATATGTACTTACTTTAAGTTCTTTAAGAGTATTTAGCTTTAATGGTATAACAAAGATTTGTATGTTTATTTTTTCGTTTTAGGATAAAGAAAGAGGGAGAAATTAGATTTTATATTATAGATATAGATATTCAAAGAAAGTAATGTTTAAATTTGTGTTTTTGGAGGGAGCTTATATAGAATGATGATTGTATTTAAATTTGTTTAGGTTTTAAAAGTGTTTTAAGTTTTTTTTTTTTAATTAAGCCTGTACTCAGCTCTGGGAAGTCCAGGGGAGGGTTTGGGAGGTTGGGAAGGGGGGGGGGTGAGGTAGGGGGGGGTATGGGAAGGGGATTTGTTTTTGTAAAATGTAAAAATTTTCAATTAAAAAAAAAAAAAAAAAGAATGAGCTTAGCGTCCTTGATAACCACGATGGGGTGGTCACTGACCTCGAGCCAGAGATCCTAGAATGTGAAGTGAAATGGGCCTTAGGAAAGCTGAGCAACAACAAAGCTAGTGGAGGTGACAGTATTCCAGCTGAGCTATTCAAAATCTTAAAAGACAATGCAGTAAAAGCGCTACACTCAATTTGCCAGCAAATTTGGAAAACTCAACAGTGGCCATTTGACATTCCAATTCTAAAGAAAGACAATGTTCAAACTATTGCACCATTGCACTCATTTCACATGCAAGTAAAGTTATGCTTAAAATCCTACAAGTTAGACTCCAGCAGTATGTGGATCGAGAACTACCAGAAGTACAAGCGGGATTTCGAAGAGGCAGAGGAACTAGAGATCAAATTGCCAACATACGCTGGATCATGGAGAAAGCTAGGGAGTTCCAGAAAAACATCTGCTTCATCGACTATGCTAAAGCCTTTGATTGTGTGGATCACAACAAATTGTGGCAAGTTCTTAAAAAGATGGGAGTACCAGACCATCTTATTTGTCTCTTGAGAAACCTATATGCGGGTCAAGAAGCAACAGTGAGAACTGGACACGGAACTACTGATTGATTCAAAATTAGGAAAGGAGTCCGGCAAGGCTGTAATCTGTTGCCCTGCCTGTTTAACTTATATGCAGAGCACATCACGAGAAAGGCAGGGCTAGATGAATCAAAAGTTGGAATTAAGATTGCCGGGAGAAATATCAACAACCTAAAATATGCAGATGATACCACTTTAATGGCAGAAAGTGAAAAGGAACTAAAGAGCCTCTTCATGCGGGTGAAGAAGGAGAGTGCAAACGTTGGCTTGAAACTCAACATTAAGAAAACCAAGATCATGGCATCCGATCCTCTCAATTCCTGGCAAATAGATGGGGAAGACATGGAGGCAGTGACAGATTTTATCTTCCTGGGCTCCAAGTTAACCACAGATGGGGACTGCAGCCAAGAAATTAAAAGACGCTTGCTCCTGGGGAGGAAAGCTATGGCAAACCTAGACAGCATACTAAAAAGCAGAGACATCACCCTGCCAACAAAAGTACATATAGTCAAGGCCATGGTTTTCCCAGTTGCAATGTATGGCTGTGAAAGCTGGACCATAAGAAAGGCTGAGCGCAAAAGAATTGAGGCCTTTGAAATATGGTGCTGGAGAAGACTCCTGCGAGTCCCTTGGACTGCAAGGCGTTCAAACCGGTCAGTCCTAGAAGAGATCAACCCCGACTGCTCTTTAGAAGGCCAGATCCTGAAGTTGAAACTCAAATACTTTGGGCACCTAATGAGAAGGAAGGACTCACTGGAGAAGGGCCTAATGCTGGGAAAGATTGAGGGCAATAGAAGAAGGGGATGACAGAGAATGAGGTGGCTGGATGGAGTCACTGAAGCAGTAGGCGTGAGCTTAAATGGACTCCAGAAGATGGTAGAGGACAGGAAGGCCTGGAGGAACGTTGTCCATGGGGTCGAGATGGGTTGGACACGACTTCGCAACTAACAACAACAAGCCACAATTTAATCTCGTGTTCTTTGATATTAGCAGGGCTAAAATCTAGCACAATCTATATGCAATCTAGTGTGATCAGCAAACTAACTGTAAACTCCAACTTAAGTTTAAGTCAAATATTGCCCAAGATCATCATCATCAAAAAAATTATATGTGACTCAGTTCATATGGAATAAGATGAAAATAAAAAATAAAAATACTGTATTTGATTGTCTATTCCTAGCATGAAGGGGAAAAGGAGTGAAGGACACTGGTTAACATATATCCTATGGTTTGTTAAATACCAACATATTCTTTAATTCTATATAGCACATTAATTTAATTAATTAATTTGACCCTCTCTAAGCAGCACAGCTTCTGTTCTTTTACAGCAAGGGGCCCCAATCCCCCGGCCACAGACCAATTCCAGTCCACAGTCTATTGGGAACTGGAGCCGTGCAAGCAGCAGGCGAATGCACAAAGCTTCATTTGTGCACGTGCAGAATTAGGTTGCACATATGCAACCATCCCGTCTCCCCCTGCTGCTGCCGCTGCCACTGCCACCACCGGTTGGGAACTGCATTTTTACAGATTATACAATAACTAGTAGAATATTTAAAAAACTGAAGGAAAGAAGCAGTCAACCAAGATGTAGAAGTGGAATGGAATTTTTATCTTGTTCTGGGGTTTCTATATTGATCTAGCACTAGAATCTGGTTACTACTTGAAACAGAAAACCCTTTGTTTTCTCCTTTTACAGTACTTTTTGCCATTTGTTTAAGGAACTGAATTCCTGAACACTTATGAAAAGAAAGTTTAATTGCAGTTTGTTCCACTGAAATCTTAAGTATTATTAAGACTTTTAACTCTATAGTACAAGACACTAAAACCTTTATTAAATCATTTTAATTTTATTTTCACAAATCCAAATCATCACTAAGAATTGCCAAATGTTTGAGAAGGCTTTTCAAACTCTAAAATATAAAACTGTAAAAAGCTTTTCTATGGCCTCACTAAACAAGCCACAACTTTTATCTTTTGTGTCCAGCTCTCCTCCATTCTCCAGTCTTATTTGCTACCTGATCTAGAGTTGCATTCTTATAGTATAAGACATTATTAGATAGATGTTCAATATTAATTTATGCAACTATTCCAGAGATCCACAACTTGAGGCAAAGGATCTCCTGCAGAACTCCCTCAAAGCGTTCTATGCAAACTTGGAGTAGGATTATCAAAATGCAAGATGAAGCTAGGAGATAAACTGAGGTGAGCTGCAGATTCTGGAAACAACATGTAAGGAGGGCTCTGGAAAGGATGAACAAATCTTAAAGTTGCTATGGAAATCCTGATTTCCTGTCCAAAATACAATTGATCTTATCCACATCCAAACTGCCAATTTCACCTTTCTATCTTATTGATCATTAACTTGCCCATTTTGGCCTTCTGGTGTCTCAAATTTGTATGCCTAATCCCCAGCCTCAGCTCTGGATCCACTGGAATATGTTTTGCATACTGCAGCCACATCATGCAAATGACAACAGCAAATTAATCTTATTCACCACAAAGATATCCAGTCCTCCCAAGGAGTCCTTCATGACTTACTTCCTGCAGATTCTCTTGGCTTCTTCATTTGTGGTTTTGCCATCTCTTATCTGCTAGTATACAGGAAGTCCTTGACTTATGACCACAATTGAGCCCAGAATTTATGTTGCTGAAAAATTTGTTGAGTTTTGCCTCATTTTATGACTTTTGTCAATTTGTTAAGTGAATCACTGCAGCTGTTAAATTAATAATACAGTTAAGTGAATCTGGCTTCCATTCACTTTGCTTGTCAGAAGCTTGCAAAAGATGATCACATGACCCCGGGACACTGCAACCGTCATAAATATGAACCAGTTGTCAAGCATCAGAAAGCAAATCATGTGACCACGGGAATGCTGCCATGGTCATAAGTCACTTTTTCAATGCTGCTGTAAGTTCGAACAATCACTAAATGAACTGTTAAGTCGAGGACTACCTATACAAGGACAAATCACATACTGTGACCTATTTAGCTTTGCAATTTTAAGGAAGCATTAGAGAGGAGTTTAGTGAATTTATTGCAATATGGTACTATATGTGATGCTAATGGAATATATTCTCTGAATCAGAGGTTCCCAACATTTTGAGCACCAGGGACCAGTTACGTGGAGAGAGGTTTTTCCACAGACCGGTGTGTGTGTGTGTGTGTGTGTGTGTGTGTGTGTGTGTGTGTGTGTTTGTGTGCTGCCTGCATCCTGTGGATAGGGCTTTCCTTGTTTGTGCGGACCGGTTGCTGGTATGCCACGGCCCGGTACTGGTCCACGGCCCGGGGATTGGGGACCCCTGCTCTGAATAATACAAAAGCACTAATAATGGAAACGGCCATTTCCCAACAAGGTAAATTGGGAAGTAATTAAGTTACATTATACTTTGTATATAATAACAGCTAAAATTAGGCTACATTTAGGAATACCCAGTCTGTATCAGAAAAAACATAATCATACTATACAATAATTTCATCATCTATCAACAACATGCATTTGTAGCCTTGTTAATTATATAAATACAGATGCTACCGTCTTCATGAAGGTATTTTACTGTAGTTAAGAAATAATCAAACCTTAGAGGAGAGATTTTCAAGCTTTGTAATGCTAAATAAATGTTGGAAACATCTCAACAAGAAAAAATGTTTTATCATATGTGGTTATGCTAAAAATCCCACTATAATAACTAAAAAGAAATACACCAAAATATTCAGAAAATTCTTAATAAAATTTGAATTAAAACAACAAATATTTTTATTAGGATGATTCTACAGAGCATAAGTAAAAGGTATCATAATTTATTAACATATATATTGACAGTGGCAAAAATCAATCTCACACAATGTTGGGGAAAAATAATCCTGGTCATCAGTACAAGACTGGAAGTCTAAAATTGAAGAATATGCAGCAATGAAAAGCACATATATGCAGCAGCAATCTAATGAAATTCAAACATGAATGATTCCCTCACATAGCAATGCAAGCAAAGACATACATACACACACACTTACACAGGTAGTCCTTGACTTACAAACATTTGTTTAGTGACCATTCAAAGTTACAATAGCACTGAAAAAAGTGACTTATGATTGTTTTACACTCGACTGTTACAGCATCCCCATGGTCACATTTGGACGCTTGGCAACTGGCTCATACTTATGACAGTTGCAATGTCCTGGGATCATGTGATCACCCTTTGTGATCTTCTGACAAGCAAAGTTGATGGGGAAGCTAGATTCACTTAATAACCATGGTACTAACTTAACAACTACAGTGATTCACAGAACAACTGTGGCAAGAAAAGTCATAAAATGGAGCAAAACTCACTTAACAATTGCCTCACTTAACAACAGAAATTTTCGGCTCAATTGTGGTCATAAGTTGAGGATTACCTGCATATATAATTACAAATTTAACATGTATAAAAGTAGTTCTCAATGACCATTTGTTTAGTGACGGTTCAAAGTTACAACAATACTGAAAAAAGTGAGTTATGACCATTTTTCACACCTATGACTGTTGCAATATCTTCATAAGTCACTTGCTCAAAATTTTGGACACTTGGCAACTGGCATGTTGCTATGTCTTGGGATCATGCAATCACCTTTTGCAACGTTTTGACAAGCAAGGTCAATGGGGAAGCCAGATTTATTTAATAACCAGGTTACTAACTCAACAACTGCAGTGATTCACTTACCAACTGTGGCAAGGAAGGTCATAGAATGGGGCAAATTCACTTAACAATTGCCTTAGCAACAAAAATTTTGGGGTCAATTGTGGTCAAAAGTTATATGTATGTATCTTTCCTTTGTTTTGCTTGCATGTTTAACTAATTAAAAAAGGGTTTAAAAAACTTCAGCAGATTTTTAAATTACATCCTAAAACAATCTGGGTCCTCATTTTACCGACCTTGGAAAGATGGAAGGCTGAGTCAACCTTGAGCCGGTGAGGATTGAACCCCTGGCAGTCAGCAGAATTAGCCTGCAATACTGCATTCTAACCACTGTGCCACCACAGGAATGCAATGAAATTGCTTTATTTTTGACTTCTGGACAAAGAAAATGAACTTATAATTATGATCAGTTATGGAAGACAATAATGAATTGTGGCATAAATTTATTCATATGTGTATAAAACCAGTTAGATAAGGATGAGGATTGTTGTGAGCCAGTTTACTGTAGTGTCAGCAGTCTCCAATCTTTCCAGCTTGGTGGAAAGAACTGGCACAGCCCAATTCTGAACAGGCTAAGGCCCGGTAGTGGGCCCCAGCTTGGGGGTTGGGATCACTGCAGTAGTGGTTAAGGCACCAAAGTAGAAACCAGGAAACTGTGAGTTCTTGTCCTGCCTGGTACAAAACCAGCTGGATAAACCTGGGCCAGTCACTCTCAGCCCTAAGAAGAAGGCAGTGGATAACTATTTTAAAAATCTTGCCAAGAAAACTGCGGCAGTCAGTCAGCAGGAGTCAACGACTTGAAGGCACATTAAAAAAATATCTATATTTATTTCTTTTTTCAGCATTTTTCTCCATTTTCTAATTGTGGTTTTTAAATTTTTTCTTTTTTTAATTTGGTTAATCTTAAAGAAACCTATACAAGGGCATCTGTGAAGCAGGGATTGGAAGATAAAGTTAAAAAATGAATGCCCTGGTATTTATGCTTTGGAAATTCATTAGTCTTTAAAAATCAGCTTAGATACTGATCATCTTATGATTAATTGATATTTTATCTATTTTATTGGTTTATATCAAGGATGAAGTCTTTGGAGAAATGCCAATAATTGTCAGAAGGGTTAATAAACTCTGTTTTTTAATTTATTTCTCTTACAGTTTTAGTTAGAGTTAAATAAAATAAAAAGAGAAATGAAAGTATCCCCAGCCTTAAAACTAATGATTTTAACAGAGTTAGGGATAGACAAGAAATTTAACACTTTTAATTAATATGTTTTAACATATAACCTATGGCCCTCCAGATGGTGAATTAAAACTCTCAACAGCCCCAGCTAGTCAGCTAAGGATGAGGATTGTTGGGTGCTGTAGCCCAACAGTGTCACATAGGCTACAGACCATGTGCTGCAAACAGACTTTCAAAGGAAAACTGTTTCCGAGGAAGATGCATTTATTCTCTTCACTGTTAACATAATCAAATTCAGTGACATCTGAAGAGCCACAGTGTAGATTAAAAAAAATAATTCAAATTATCTTAATTATAGTGGAGAGGTAAGACATTCTAGAACATAACACTGAGAACCACCCTTGTCAGAATAATGAATGCTGTATAACTTTGCTCAGGGGAGGAAAAAAAGGAAGGAGGCTTATAAGCCCTGAACATTGATATCCAGCAACCAAAGAAAAGTCACAACGCTTTTCCCTTGGGGTTTATACAGGTGATCCCTTGAATGTTAGAGCAATGTCCAAGAGATTTTTACCCAGTTCTGCCTGTTCTCCTCCGAGACTAAACTCAGCAGTCAATTCTCTGAAGGTGATACATACACGACGACTTTTAATATGGTTGCGATAAATGGCATGCTTCCACTGGTAGCGAGCAGGTCCACTGAGAACGACTAGTGATCTCTGAGGTAAGTAAATAGCAACAAGGATTTCTCTGAGTCGAACTAACTTCGTGGATGAATATTCAGTGCTTTCTAGTCTTTCTAGAAGACTACAATCATCCATCTGATGATACTCTTGAGAAATATCAGGAGATTTATACCTGTGCATCTGCTTGTTTTCTTGAAGAACTAGAGGAAATAAGTGGAGACTGTCCTCTGAGTCGCAGGACATGGAAAGTACAGTATCTGAGAGCAAGTTTAAGCTCACCAGCCGTTCCCCCCATAGCCACCAGTCATCCCAATGTGGGTCAATAGCAGATCCTCTCTCAGGGTCATAATCTAAATTGCACTGCTCAACAGGAGAAAAACTTTCAAGAATTGGATATTTTCGCATTCGTGCCACGATCTCCTTGCTGAAGCTGGGCAAGCCAGAAAAATTACCAGCTTTCATTTTTTGCTTCTTAAAGTTCACTTTGGGGCCATAATCCTATTGAAAAAGAACAAAGAGTATTTGAGGAGGAGTAAATTAAAAGATGAAGACTGCGAGCAATGAAATCCCCAATTCGGATCTCATCTCTAAAAAAAAATTGCAGGCTTAGACAAGCTGCTACTTTTAGTCTAACACCTGCAATAACAGGGTAACAATATTAATTTATATATTCTAGTTGAGATTCTTGACAAACAATGCTGCTGCTAAACAACAAAACTCTTGGCCTATGATGCATTCATAATTCATTTTCTCATGTAAATCAAGAATACTGGATTGAATAAACCCTGATTAAATAAAGCAAGTACTTATTATAATCAAAACAGAATGAAAGTGGCTGCACCAGAGGTGCTACTAATATTTCCGTTGTTTTAACTTATTTTGAAAAAAAATCACAGGGAAAGAGAATGGAAGGAAAAACTTACACACTAAACAAAATATCCAAAGATAAACACTGGAAGATGACCCCATCCCTATCTCCCAGAGTAAGGAGGAATTTAAGCTTGAGACAAGACCTGTTTTCTTCGGCCAGATTGTGATGGCTTCCATATGCTTTGATCCATTAGCTCAACCATTTGATATTCCTCATCTGTGTTTATAAAGTCTTCCAGCAAAAAAACTCCTGGAAACTCGAAAGCCCATCCTTCAAATTCTGATTGTTTCTCTCCCACAGCAAAGCCGGTCAATGGGCAGTAAACAAAATTTGCACTTTTCTGAGGAAAAAAATGGGAATGTGAAAAGGAGAATAGTAGTAACTGAATCTGATCTTCACGTTTGCAATTTGTCAAATGTTCTAGTTTGCAGAAATATACAGTCTTCTAATCACTTGCTTAAATAAATGGGCTTTTAGAATTCCTGCGTGTTAAAGGTAGTCCTTTACTTACAATATGTCTTTTATTGACCTTTCAAAGTTATGACAGAGCCCCCAAAGCTACTTATGACCCAGTTTCAAAGTTACATCAGCTGCAGCACCACCACCACGGCAGTCATTTGTCCTTATGGTCAACTGCAGGGATGCTTTAGTGCTCTTTCACTCACCCCGCTGGGTTCCTGCAGCCACTCATCCACCCAAGCCTCCAACTTCCTTCCCATCCAGCAAGGAAGGGAAGATTAGGCCTCTGGAGTTTGCAACTTCCAGTAAGGAAAGGGAGATGAGGCTGTCTGGACTTGCAAGACTCCAGCTTCTTTCCCACTTACAGGACTCAACCTGCTCCAGAGCCCAACAACACCCAACTTACCTTTCTGTTTTTTGCAGCTTCTGAGAAAGGCACTCAGCCCTGAATACAGGATCTTGTAGACCAGCGGTTCTCAACCTGTGGGTCGCAACCCCATTTGGGGTCGAACGACCATTTCACGGGGGTCGCCAAACAACGCAGTCCGCCATTTTTTCCCCCTTTTCCTTAGCTGTGTTACTCCTTTTTATTCTATTGGCTTTTGAAAGCCAATAGAATAGACTCTCTTGAATAGACTCTGCCCTGCTGAGCCTGCCAAAAGTCCCATTCTGCAAACGGTGCTGCAAGTTGTCTGCAGCAAAGGCGAGCTGTCTGGAAGTTTCCACCCCTCCCTGCTGAGCAACTACTAAAAATGTAAGTAAAAGAGGACCAGGGATGGGAGGTGGGAGGCCGGTGGGCGCAGGGAAAGTCCTCAACTTACGACTGGTTGGGTAGTCCTCAACTTAAGACCAGTTGGGTAGTCCTCGACTTACGACCGGTTGGGGATCGCGGCATTAAAAAGGTTGAGAACCACTGTTGTAGACCTAGCCTTCTGACAAAGCAGGTGTTATTCTCTGGCACCTGTAGGGGGCTTCCCTTTTAAGGAGGCTCTATAAACTCCACAAAGAAATAGGCCTCCTAAAAAAGGGGGAGTCTCCTTAAAAATATTAAACAAAAACACTCTACAGTATTGCAAGAATAGAATTAGAACCTAATGCAAAACAGCACAGATTTGCCAGGCTCACTGGGTGGGAAGGCAGGTGAAGGCTTGTAAGCTCTAGCTGGCTTGATCTCCCTTGCTTGCTGGGTGTTAAAAACACTGCAGAGACCCTGAGGCGCAAGAAGTGGAGCATGGGGTGCCTCAAGGGAGGGTGGATGTCTAAGGCAGGCAACCCTGGGCCTGTATAGGCCTCTCCTACCCCTGAACCAACCAGTACAGGTAGTCCTCGGCTTACAATAGTTCATTTAGTGACCATTCAAAGTTACGACACTGAATAAATGACTTGTGACCATTTTTCACACTTACAACCATTGCAGCATCGCTGGGGTCACATGATCAAAATTCAGCCGCTTGGCAACTGGCTCATATTTATGATAGTTGGTGTGTCCCAGGATGTGATCACCTTTTGTGATTTTCTTACAAGCAAAGTCAAGGGGAAAGCCAGATTCATTTTACAACCATGTTACTAACTTAATAACTACAGTGATGCACTTAACAATGGTGGCCAGAAAGGATGTAAAATGGGGCAAAAATCACTTAACAAATGTTTGACTTAGCAACAAAAATTTTGGGCTCAATTGTGGTCATAAGTCGAGGATTACCTGTACTCCACTTAGCAATCCTTGAATTAATTCAACAGTTGCATCAGGGACAGTAGGGGTTGTTAAGTGAGGCCATGTTGCTTAATGGCTATGGCGATATGTGACAGGCTCCATTACGGTCATATCCTGAGGACTACCTATAGTTGGCATTAGATTTTGAAGATAGGTTTTGGTCATTTGGCTTTATGCCATCGTTTGGTTGAATATAAGTTCTAAATGTTTTAAGATAACCGATTTCCTATTCTTTTAAAATCCACTTCTTTATTAATGTACTGTATAATTAATCTCTTATTTTCACAAGATTTCTTTTAGCAGAATTGAAGAGATGAAGTTATAATGATGTAATTTATACCCCATGTGTAAAGATGTTAATTTTGAGGAAATTAAGAATTATGTGCCATTGAATCAGACTATAGGGACAAATTAAGAATAATAGAAAACATAAATAGAAAATATAGTAAAGAAATATGGTACTTAATTTTACATATAATAACGGCGGCAAGAATAGCATATGCACAGTGCTGGAAAAATGAGAATATACCATCAGAGGAAGAAGTAATAATAAAAATCCTGGACTGTGCTGAGATGGACAAATTAACAAAAGAGATAAAAGAAAAGGAAGACACAGAGTATTATATAGTATGGAACAAGGTGTATGTCTGGTTGGAGACTAGAAATAATAGAGGAGAATAAATATGGAAAGGTCAAAAGTGAAAATATGTGTACACATGAAGGAAGAAAAATGTAAATAAGAAATAATGGGGCTATAAGGACAAATATTTAAAGAAGAATAAGGGGAAATGTAAATATTAGATTACCGTTACGTAATTGCTGTAAAAAAAAGGAGGTATATATTGTGTGTGTATGTGTGTTATGTGTTGCTTTGTTCTGTTTTGTCTTGTTGGTTAAAAATAAAAATTAAAAAAAATAAGAAGAATAGAAAACATAAAACACATTTAAACTACCAGTTTCGTATTTTAAACAGTGAAATCACAGCCTACAAATACTTTACAGGGGCAAGACAAAAATAAAGTTATTATCATTTAATGTAACAGAACTCCTTGTTCTGTCCTTTATCTTCTGACAAACAATATAGTCAGCAAGAGAGGAGAGGATTTTGTTAGACCTCTGACCTTTGGCAGAATAAGATTTCCAGTAAATTAAGGGTATTTAAGTTGTCACTATTGTGTTCCTCAATAAAAATTCAATCATTTGTCACAGAAAAGCCTCATTCATATCCTCTGCCAGTTCAAGCTGTCTATAATAAGCTCCCACAATAATATCTACTCAAACGCCATTATGATATTTTTGCAAGGTTCTTAGCTAGAACTGCTTGCAAATCCTTGGACTTACATGCCACACCTGGCTAGAGCCTGGTGAGATGATTTGGGTAACATCCTGCAAGATCAAATGTGATTTACAGGCAGTCCTCAACTTACAATCACAATTAGAACCAGAACAAAGTGGTCATTAAGTGAGTCATCACATGATCACATCCAATTTTATGGTTTTCATTAAGCAAATCACACAGTCATTAAGTGAATCTAGTTTCCCCATTGACTTCGCTTGTTAGGAACTGGCTAGGATGGTCACAATGGCAATCATGTGATCCTGGGATGCTGCAGCCATAAACACAAACTGGTTGCCAAGTACCTAAATCAAGATTATGTGCTGATAAGTATGAGGATTAGTCATGTCACTTTTTTCACTGCTGCCATAACTTCAAACAGTTGCTAAATGGATGTAAGGTGAGGACTATCTGTATTCTGAGCATTGAAAAGACATTAGGTTTCTAGCTATGAAGGATCCTAGAGAAAAAAGGATTCCGCTGTTCCCTTTCAACTGAGATTCAGGATGAGGCATGGCACAAAAACAGTACCAGTTGCCTTAAAATCTGGATGGAGTGTTATCTATTCTCATCTTACTGGCCCAGCCTTTGGTTCCTCCCACATGTGTTGTGCAAGTCTTCTCTTTCTTTCTGCTTCTAAAAAGTAATTTTTCAGTTCAGGATTTGGTATAACCAGTATACTAATACGGCAATACTAACCATACCCAGACCTGACCCAGCACTTAACAGTTGTAAAGAGTTTGGCTGATCACAACAATGAAATTAAAACCCTTGGGGCAGAACAGATCTTCATAAGTGAATATCTGGCTCAATTCCATATCCTAAATTTGCTCTGGATTGGAGTGTACTTCCCTTGAAAAAGCAGTTTTGTAATGTGGAGGTCTCCCCTGCTCTCAATTACTCAATTCTTTATTACAATTAAGTCAGAGACCAGTATAATATCTTGGTCTTTTATTCTTTGAGTAGCGGGATGGTACTGTGGCCAGATATCAGACTCTCTAACAACAATCAGAACTTGAAATGATAAATCCAAAGAATCAGCCTCTCTCAATTCTAATTAGCAAACTTTATTATGTGAAAGTGACAAGAATTCTAGTCAATGCTATTGTCTTCAATTGAGACATCTATATAGAAGCAATCCTAAGCAACTAGAATCAACTTTTCTTTCTCATCTTTTAATGTAAAGGAGATGACACTTTTCTCTTTTGAGCTTATATCAGTAAATGGTTTTAGAAATGGCTACCAGCTTCCTTATTATTGTGTGAACAAGCCAAATACCTATGGAGATTCTCAATCATCCAGGTCATGGTTGTCAAAAGATGCATTATCCAAAATATTTTCTGCCTTTGAAAACATTTTGCTTCTCATCCAAAAAGTTTTAGTTCTAATAGAATGGAAGGATTTATATTCTTTGCAGTCATCTGGTTAGCTCTCTGAGAGTCCTTGAGGTTACCTGGGGGTTTATCTGTATCCTCAGAGTCACCTAAATCAGAGTGTAAACAGCTGTGGAACTTACTTGGGATTGCTATAAAGGACTGCATTGTAAACAGGTGTTATACCCCTCCCCCTCTGCTAAGAGAGGGCTGTTTAATTTTAACACAAATACGGTAGTGTTTAAAACTATTTAGCCTTGTAAGATGTTAGAACAATATATTGTGATAAATAAATAAATAATCTGCCTTTTCTTCCCCCATTTTACAACTAATCAACAAAGTAGATCAGGGTGTCAAATTCTCAAGGGCTGTGTGATGTGTTGCAACTTTTTTTCCATTGCCAGCAATGGGGGGCGTGGTTTCAGCTTTTGACACCACTGAAGTAGATGAATCTGACAGAAAATGGTCCAGTATTATCCTGGGCGTTCATGGCCTCAGAGAGGTTTGTAATCTGTATCTCTTTGGTACTAATTTAAAATTCTAATAAAGCTGATTTTTGTAATGTTAAGACAGGATGCACAAGAATTCTAGAATTATCCTGACAAATATGTACAGAACATGATTGTTACTTGAAAGAACATATTGCTCCAAACAAAACAAGATGATTTAGACAAGAACAAATGTATTCACAATAATGCCTCCTAATTCTGACAAAACACAAAACATTTTTCTTTAGCTTTTTGTCCTAGCAGAAGGAATACGAGAAAATAGATGATCTGTATCAGAATCCTGCTAAATTCATCATATCAATCCTGAAGCCATGTCCTGTGAATATACACATTTATATAGGGTTTGTTTTGGAGTGTTTTTGCAGGATGAAACAAATTCACGTCAACCTTTTTTGAAGTTTATTAATTAAAATATTCTTTTCCATGAATTCTCCAAAATGCTTAAATACTTCAATACTATTTTAGTTATGTTCCCAATTATTGCAGATAATCCATAATTGAAATAATTTGATTACATTTTAAAGGTTTCTGGATTTGAACACATATATAGTCTAAATAAAATCATCAAAAGAAATTGACTTGGCAACTTTTGTATTCCCTAATCTTATGTTGTAAATGTCTTTTATCAAACAAATGCCTAAAAAGTTTGAGCTATTGAGTTCACACAATCTGTCAAAGCAGAAAGACTACGAGGCAATGCATTGGTAGCTAGAATCATAGGTAACATTTGGGGAGAAGGGAGAAAAACAATGGGTAAGACAATATGGGAAAGTAGATTCATCTGTGTTGGACAGACTCTTCTGAAAGTTAATTGGAATCTGGGAAGTTTCTTTGGAAGATTTCCATCTCTCCTCGATTGCTAAAATTTGCCTGCCTGAAATTGCCACATATCTTTTTCAGCTTTCCTAATATAACAGTAAGATAGATTTTTAAAATATATAAAAGTTATGATTAAAAATACAACGACAACTTTAGCAAACGTGGCTAGGATTCTTCCTCCCTTTTCTTGAGAGACGAGCACTCTGCGCATCCTCAGAGGCGCTCTTAGCCGAAGCTTCTCACGACTGAGCTTGGGCGCTCTCTTTCCCCGACGACCCTCACCCCTCATATCTTCCCCCTCCCACCCTCCAATTCCCACCCCCTTTTCCACCCCTTCTCTGAGGCCGGGTGGGTTACCTGCGGGGGCGGGGCGACCTCGCAGAGCAGGCAAGAGCGGATCCCCTTGCACCCGCAGCCGCTGGGTTCGCCGAGGCCGGCTCCAGCTCCTGCTGCTCCTCCTCCTCGCGTTTTAACACCTTCCATCCTACCCGACCCCGGTAGCTTTTGCCGCCGTCGGCCCCCCCTCCGCGCTTCCGGTTCGCGGAGCCCCGGCGGTGGCAGCAGAAGCAGCACCAGAAGGTTCTTGCGCCCGTCTGAGGTAAGGCTCGAGAACGGCGAGAGATCGGTTGGTGCGGAGCCCGGGGGCGTGGGGACAAGGGCCGTCAGTCGTTGGGGCATTAAGCGAGCGCGCGCCCGGCGGGAAATGTTGAGGCGAGCCGCCTCCCTCTTTGGAGTTTTCTCTTCAAGGCCCTACCGGGTGCCTTGACTGGAGGAACGATGTTGTGGCGGGAAACTCGTCTTCCCACAGCGCTTTGCGCGGTTTAGCGGTAAGAAAGACATCCTCGCGTCCTGCCGGGGCGTGATGGGAATTGTGGTCTCGAAGCTGGTTGAGCATTTAAAGATGCCGCTGCTCTTGACTTCCCTCCCTTCTCCAGTTTTCCTCATCGCCGCCACAAGGCGCCTCTTTCTCTCCAGGGTTGGTTTTTTAAAAATATATGTATATATATAATCTGTCCCTCCGTATTGAGGTGATGTGTATTTTTTTTTTTTACATGTAAATATCGGTCTATCTGAGGAGAGATTTTTTTTTTTTGTTCATTAGGGGCTTAGGAAGACGAGGCGGCAACCAGACCCTCAAAGCCTGCTCATCTTCATTTTGAAACAATAACCCCCTTTTGAAAAAGACACATGCAGTTTTCCCCTCTTCCATCTCATTTTAGACTGAGATTTGCCTCAGAGATAAGATTCTGGGTCGATTTTTCCTTTTCGGCATCTCTCTTCTGTTCCCCACCTCAGGCATGTCGTTGTAGTTGAAAACTGCTCTTAAAAAAAATATTTCTACTTCTCCAAGATTCTTAGGCATTTTCTATTTCTTCTCATACCTTTGAAACTGCCTATGCTCTGATTTAGTTATTTTTGTAATAACACATACAAAGCACTTTTGTTTGAACAAGCGAGTCAAAGGTGTCATTTGACACCAGCCAAATACTATAAATGACTTAGAAATCAAAATACCCAATTATAATGATAATGCTTTCCAAAGCTGGAAAAGATCTCTCATTTTAACCCAAATTCTATTCATTCCCTGTCTTTTGATGCTTTTCTTGTATGTCCAGAATTGCTATCCAGATTTGTAAGAATGTTAGAGCTGAGATTGATTTTTTTTAAAAGGTCCATAATATAGAGATAGTGCTGTATAATATATGCATGTATAAATATGTGATTCAGCCATGAATTTCTGAAAATCTATATAAGGCACTGTAAAAGGGGGTAAGCAAAATTAAAATCAAAGAGTTTGGAGGGGTGTTAAGACCATTAACATCAAATCTTGTTCAATTTAGGAATTTGAATTAAAATATCCCTGAGCTATGGCCCTTCAGCCTCTTTCTATAAACATTGAGTCAATGGAAGCCCACCACTTTTTTGGATAAATATTTTTACTAACTTTCTTACATTAAGTTTTTCCTAACTGGACATTTAAAGATTCTTACTCCTTGTTTTTGCACTATGTAGTGCTTAAGTTCCAACCAACTGTTGATCAATCTCCTTCATTCTGATTTTTGATCGTTGCTATCAGATCCCCTTTCATTTGTTTTCTGTTGGGAATAAACATACAGTACAGATTTCCCTCAGATATAAAACTAAATTTTTAATCTTGCAATCATTCTTGTTGCCTTTCTATTGTTTCTGTGAATCTTCTTTTTATTTTTATTGAAAATTTTTACATTTTACAAAAACAAATCCCCTTCCCATACCCCCCCCTACCTCACCCCCCCCCTTCCCAACCTCCCAAACCCTCCCCTGGACTTCCCAGAGCTGAGTACAGGCTTAATTAAAAAAAAAAAAAAAACTTAAGACACTTTTAAAACCTAAACAAATTTAAATACAATCATCATTCTATATAAGCTCCCTCCAAAAACACAAATTTAAACATTACTTTCTTTGAATATCTATATCTATAGTATAAAATCTAATTTCTCCCTCTTTCTTTATCCTAAAACGAAAAAATAAACATACAAATCTTTGTTATACCATTAAAGCTAAATACTCTTAAAGAACTTAAAGTAAGTACATATTTCCTTCAATCTTCATAATCTTCTCTCCTATCCAAAAAGAAAAAAAAAAAAAAACAAAAACTTAAAAAACCTATAAGTCCTAAACAAATCTAAGCACATTTAATTAAACAAATTATTTTGTCTTAAAAATATTAATAATAATATTTAAAAACTAAAAACACTTTTAAATCCTAAACAAATCTAAATACAATCCTCACTCTATATAAACTCCCTCCAAAACCACAAATTTTTAAAATTTAAAACATTAGAATCCACTCACTAAAATAAGCAAATTATAATCCCTTCAAAACACAAATTTAAACAATATTATCATTAAAGGTTCAAAACTTAAAACAACAAAGTTAATAAACACATTAAACATTTCAATCTTCACCAATAACTAATTCCATCCGTAAAAAACTACATCCTTATCAATCTCAATTATATTAGTATTATTAATTATTCACATTCCAGTTTTTTCCATTCTCCATTCTTCCATTCTTCCATTTCCCTTCTCCATTCTTGTATCAAACTCGTAAGAAATGCTGCAAGTTCTGCCTTAGGAGACTGCTCCAAAATTCCTGAATCTCCCATCGACTCCGAAGCAAATAAGGGTTCCTTAAATTCCTCCTTGTATTGATCTTTACAATTGTAAGTTGTACAAGTTATCCTCTGCCCGTTCCTCTCTTGTTGATGCCCCTCAGACTGAGATTTCCCAGTTTCCATTTCAGGCAACAATTCCACCCTTAAAGATTGCTCCAAAGACTTTGTAGGTCTAACATCTCCCAGAGATTCAGAAACCACTAAATATGAAACTTCCTTAACCTTCTTCTGTTGCTGCTTTTCTTTGGGATTATATACTGCACAAGTTGTCTTCTGCTCCTCAACCTGGACTTGTTGAGGCCTCTCACACAAAGATTCTCCAGTTTTCATAAATATAGGCTCTTCAAACTGTGATTCTACATTCTTTTCTTCCAAAGCTTTAAACTTAATTGATGGCGATGCACATACCCCCAGGACCGAAGTATAAAAATCTTTTGCTTGAGAAACAGTATTAAGTCTATAACATGTCCCCAGGTAATTCACCACCATTCCAATCGGAACATCCCATCTGAATGAAATTTTTCTCTTTTTAAGTTCATTTGCTAAAAAAGCAAACTCCTTTCTTCTTCTTAAAATTTTAGATGGGATCTCTTTAAAAATTATAACATCTTGTGAAGCAATTTGAAATCTCTTCTTATAATAGGCTTGCACAATTTCATTGCGTAAAGATCTTTTACCAAAGTAAATTACCACATCTCTTGGCAGATTCTTCTGTGCTGCCACCACAGAGTTAACCCTAAATAATTTTTCAATTTCACTAAGTATTCCCTCTTTTTCTTTATTCAAAATCAATGCAAAGTCCTTTGCAACCATCTCCTTCAGATCTCCTTGCAAAGACTCTCCCAAGCCTCTAATTCTTAAGGCATATTCCATTTGTCCATATTGAAGCATAAGAATCTCATTTTCCATTTCTTTTTCCATACTTTCAATTTTCCCCTCCATTATGTCCACTTTTTCAGCTACCTCTTCCACATGGGAGTTCACCTTTTCAAGAACAGAAGCAACACCTTCTAAAGCCAAAACAAAATCTTGTCTCAAGATCTTATTGTTTTCCTCTAAAATCTTTTTCATTTCTGCCCTAATTTGAATTATAACATCTCCCATCATGTCTTGCAAGTCCTTCATAGTTATTAGCTGACCCCCAGAAGAGGGTGAAACTGTTGATTTAGAAACTGTAGAAATCCCTGGACGCTTTGGAGCCATCTTAAAGAAAAACCTTTAGTCCTTCTTAAGAAATTATAAAAATTCCTTCAAAAATCATAACTCCCTCCAAAGAAGGTCATTATAATAAAAAGAAAAAAGGGAAAAAAAGGAAGAGAAAAAGAATTAAAAAAAAGTTTTACTCCTTCTTAAAAATTACAAAAAATTAAACAGAAAAAAAGTCCTTCAAAAAAGGGTCATTACAATAAAAAAAAAGGGAGTTCAAAGGAAAAAAAAAGGGAGAAGAAAAAAAAAAATAATAATTAAATAAAAAAAGTCCGTTCCAAAAAAAATACTTAGAGATACCAAAAACAACCATTCCAATCATAAGGAAATAAAAAGAGAAAGGGAAAGGAAAGAAAGAAAAACACCAAAAAGCCTGCCGGTCAGCATTCTAACTTCCAGAAAAAAAAACACCGAGGAGTTTGCCGATCGCCATTTTACTTTCCCTTTCAAAAAAGAAAAAAAATAAAAAGAGAGAATAAAAATAGAAACAAATCTTAAAACTTAAAATCCAAATAAGTCAAAGAAAGCAAAAACTAAATCCTCTACTCAGCTCTGTCCATTTAAAAAAAAAAACTCACCAGTTCTCTTTAAGCACGGAGGTGTTTGCGGCGGCTCGTTTTGTCCCTGAGGACAAAAACAGCTGGGAAGCGGAGACAAGTCTGAACTCCGTGGGAGCACTCCTTTCACCCCCCCAAAAAAAAAACTTGGGGGGTGAGAAAGAGGCTCTACCACTATTCAGACACTCTCTACCCCCCCCTTTGCCCGGGAGGGGGATTTTGAACCGCTGAACAGCTGATATCTGCTGTTCATAGCGGTTCTTACACTTACCCAGGAGGACGGCTACAAAGTAGCCGCCATCACGCACGCAAAATCCACCGGAAGTCTGTGAATCTTCTTAAAATATAATATCTGCAATTGGACACTGTACTTGAGATAAAGTCTGAAGAAGGCAGATATAGTTGCTTTGGCAACTGCTCTTGTTGATGCATTCTGAATTGCATTTCCCTTTGGAGCTGTATCATGTTGACTCATATATAGTTTACAATTAACATTCCCAAATCATTTTCATATAATAGAATAGAATATAACAGAATAGAATAGAATGTATTGTCACTTTAAATATACACTAACCAGCATATATTAAAAAA